TACTGCGGAAGCATTGAAGCGGACGCAACATGTTCTGGCCACCCAGCTGCCGCTTTTGGAGCAGTGGAAGGAGTTGCAGGTGTGTAGCGCGTCTGTTTTATGGCCGTTCTAGCTCCCCAGGACGGGTTGAGGGGGACATGGACAGTTTGTTAATCTGTAGGACTGGCCTGCGGAACGGATCAGCGACGCCTCACGCAGCCGACGCACGATGGTGTTGGCATTGCAGTAATCCGTTTTTGGTACGTTGGGGGCGCTCGTCTTCACCATAAAGTCGCTTCTCGCAACGTATATGGTTCTGACTGGCGCTTGCCCATAGCTCGTGGTGGAAACTGCCCGTGTGCATGTTATGCCGTTCCTGTGTGTGCAGTGGGTAGTCTTACGCTCCCAGTCTGGGTCCCGAGTTATTCACATCCTCAATGCTGTCGGCCGCCAGCCAGCAGTGTGACTGCTTCCCGAATCTGTACCCGATTTCCGACAACGCAGGACACGCACGGCCCCGCCACTCGGGAGGTCCTCACCGCGCTACAAAACGCTATGACCAACCTGCCACTGGTCAACGGTGCTGCGCTGGGCATGGGCGGCGGGGACATCACGCAGGCCCTGCCGCAGCTGCGTCGCGCTATCGCCAACGGGCTGGGCTCGCTGCAATCCGCGGAGGTTGCCTTGGGGGTCCTGCTCCACGGCGTCAACATGCGCAGCAGCAGTAGCGGCAGCGGCAGCGCGGCTGAAACACGCGGGGGCCAGGCACAAGCCGGACAGGGCGGCGTGATAGCAATGGCGACGCTGCTGCCGCAGCTCTACGACACGCTCGTAGGTGAGTTGGCAGGGTTATTGAAAAGATGGGCTTGAATTGCGAGGTGAAATGCATTCAGGTCCTGATCCTGTCCGCCTCGAACTGCGCGGCCTCAGTTTCACCACCCGCACGTCTTTTACATAACCGAGGCTGGGCGAATACGAGGCTGGCAACAGGCAGCCGCAGTGACCGACCTTTTCTGCGCCTCGGTGCCCCGCTCAAGTGAGCCCTTGCTACCCTTTTGCTTGCTCCCTTCTACGCACGCCGAGGCGTTTGCCATAAAACGAAAAGCTTGGTCTCGTTCCTATTGGGCTAGGAAAGTAGTATTACGGTTACGTTTTAACAATTATAGTATACTAATTCCACTGTCCATTCCTTGCCATACCCTGAAACAGGGGAGGTAGCCAACTTGCGCACCCTGCTCAGCAACTTAAACACACTGGCGGCGAAGCTCGATGAGGCGGCGTGCTTGCGAGCCCGCACCGCGGCTGCCGCGCTCTCCGCGCCCTGGTCCTCGCACGAGCCGGGATGCGGTGGGCTCTGGGTTGAGGGCCCAGTTGATGTCAGCAGCGACAGCAGCACCGCGGATAACACCCTGTTGATGGACAAAGCTCTCGCCATGTTGGGACTTGGAATAGGGGCCGTGTGAGCAATGGGCCGTGCTGCGTGTTCGCGTTGCTCGCACAGCCATGACTGATTTGATGACGGGTTCAGCGCCAGGGATTTGAACGATCTGACGCGCGCGGAAGACGTGAAACGTGAGAAGTAGATTTCATGTATTAATAGCCCCAATGGCCGTTTCGGCTGCTGTTTTGGGTGAAGCATTGCATGGAGGGGCCTCTTTAACGGCTACTGCTTAAGGCCTTTATGATTGTGGTAGGGGGAATCCGCAAGCCGGCAGGCAAAGTGCATGTGGACACGAAATGAGCCAAGATGACGCCAGCACAGATGGCCTTGCACCATTGGGAGGCATAGGTTCACCGCCCCGGGAGGACACCGTCTTACCTAGCAGTAGTGTCAAATGTATGATGTGTGGATGGAACATGTCCTGTAGATGGCGGTTGTCGGGCACGAAACCTTTTACCAAAGGACCCGTAACTTGTTGGCAGGTTTCCTTTCGTGGTGCCCTGGGTTCGCACCATCGTCGACGAGTCACAAGGCGGCACTGACGAATCAACAATCCACTGATATTGGCATTGTATTTTGAGCAGTGTGGATTGTATAAGCTGTTGCGCGCGATTTTAGTCACGTTGTACCTGGTGTAGACTACATTCCGAAACCACCAGGTAGGTACCGAGTACACGCCACAGCTCACTATTGCGTTTCTGCGCGACCTTGGATAGCCACCAGTATTGGTATACCTTTCCGACAATGAGGTTACGTAATTCAGGTTTGCTTTAGGTGTGGGTCAGCGTGCCGTCACGTGCACGGAGTTGGCACGTCTAGTTCCGTAAAAGTGCACATTAACAGAACCAGGGTGAGGGACATGCAATGGACACATCAACGCTAAGCCCATGGAGGTACACACAGTTACCTGCGATGTTCCGCTGCTCTATGTGTCCATAGGAGGTCGTCTCTATTCGAGAGAGGATACGATGCGGTCGGCATCATCCTGCCGTCTCAAGCAATTTAGCCCACGGTCATGTGGAGCTTTACAACTCAGCGGGGTTGGAAATGTATGTCTGTTGTCCGCCTCCTACTTCTGCTGCACTTGGGACTGCCACACCGTGTGGTCATGCACACGGGCACCGCCCAGGGACATTCAGTTGTCTCAACTCCTCGCATTCATGCAAAACTGAATACATATCATGGCCCCTATCGGGATCGAACCGATGACCTTGGCGTGCCCAAATCTATTAGCACCACGCTCTAACCAGCTGAGCTAAGGGGCCAACCTGACATTTAAGAAAGGAATCTACACCTGAATCATCCGAAAAAAGAGTATGTTGGGGTTGCTGTCTAGAGGCCCACACTTCGTGGCATTGAGCCCCCCCGGATGCCCGTAGGGCTGCTGAGACGTAAAGTCCAGGCTTACGTACCCCTGCCGCCTCTATCCCCTGCCACTCTTCTCCTGCCGCCTCTATCCCCTGCCTCCTCCCCCGCTGCCTCTACCCCCTGCCACCTTCTCGAGGACTACACTCCGTGGCATTGAGGCCCCCCGGATACCCGTAGGGCTGCTGAGATGTACAGGCCACGCTTACGTACCCCTGCCGCCTCTATCCCCTCCCGCCTCTCTATCCCCTCCCGCCTCTCTATCCCCTGCCGCCTCCTTCCCTGCCGCCACCTCCCCTGCCGCCTCTATCCCCCGCCCCTCCTCGCCTGCCGCCTCCTCCCCTGCCGCCTGTATCCCCTGCCGACTATATCCCCTGCCGCCTGTAGCTCCTCGCCTGCCGCCTCCTCCCCTGCCGCCTCTATCCCCTGCCGCCTCTATCCCCTCACACTTCCGTCCCCTACCGCCTCCGCCCCTGCTATTGCCTCCCCTCCCCTGTATCCCCTGCCACCTTCTCCCCTGCCGCCTCCTTCTCCGCCGCCTCTATCCCCTGCCGCCTCGATCCACTGCCGCCTCCTACTTCTGCTGCACCTGGGACTGCCACACCGTGTGGTCATGCACGCGAGCACCGCCCAGGGGACATTCAGTTGTCTCAACTCCTCGCATTTTTGCAAAACTACATTAAGATGATGGCCCCTATCGGGATCGAACCGATGACCTTGGCGTGCCCATATTCTATTAGCACCACGCTCTAACCAGCTGAGCTAAGGGGCCTACCTATCTGCTAAGATACAAATATTTACTATACAAAGAATAATATCAACAACAGCAACAGCAACAACAGCAACAGCAGCGTCCGCAACAGACGCATTGCGTGCAACAATTGTTCTCTAGGTCATCGGTGCATGCTGGGGTCTGGGTTGTACACTTTTGTATATTGCGCAACAATGCAATGTGCGCATGTAAGTGAAGCATTCCTCCGGGTAGAATATGTACAATACTCGTACTGCTGCTCGTACGGCTTCATCTGGGCCTCAGCTTTAACATCAAGGTTTTGCTCTTGAATTTCTGTTCCTCTTTATATACATACAATGTTTGCATACAAACTTCGCCGAACACCAAGGCAGGATGGGATCCCATCCTCTTAACACACCTTACCTACCCTGCTGCTACATGCACATGTTCGCGCACCTGCAGGTCAGGGAGGGTCTGGCCTTTGTAATGTATGGGCTTGCTCCAGCAGCCGGACGAGAGATTAATCCGCAGCGAGGGTACCGCATGCGACGCCTTGGAACAGCTTGGAACTCTGAAGCGTGCGAGTGAACGCCAGTGAAGGCGCTTCCGCAGCAGGGGTGACGTAGCCACATTACCCAATACATTAGTCCCGTCGACCGTTCACCGACATTTAAAGAGTACGCGTAATTTGGATTATTATAATCAGGCTGACCCATCTTGCATATCTCTTGGCGGCTCCGCTTAACTCCCACATTGCCCCCCGTGGCCCCCAGTGTTTGCCGTCTTGCTTCAACGTGGGTATAAGGCGGTACAGCTTGTTAACCAAGTCAGCGCCCGCCACTTCGCTTAATGACTTGTTGTGCATGTACAGGGCGCAATCCTTTCATCCCGAACGGGTAAAGTCCTGTACTACTTTGTAATGCTCAGATATGGGTATCTCCTTTGAACTGATGACTCCGTTCATTATGGAGTCCGCAACCTCCGCTGTTTCCTGCAGCAGCTGCGTAACTATGACCGTGCTCTCCTTGACAGCTTGCAAGATCGCAGTCATGATTGCCTGTGCCGTCGGGGTCAGCTGCACACAAACCGCGCAAAGTTCGAGTCACCAGAGGCGTATGCCAAGGTCAAGCAATAGGATAATTAGATGAATTTACCTTGTACAGCATGACACCCATGGGCAACGCTGAGGGATCCATGCCGCCTTCCAGTTGTTTCGATAGTTGGCTGTCAAGCTGCTGGTTACGTCTGAAAAGTTGGCCCTAGGTCATCAGTTCATGCCAGATAAATGGATGGTAAAGATACACATTTAAAAGGTTAAAAGGTAATTATGTATGTGACGTTATGACAAAGAGAGAGGCAAGACAGGCCCGATTGCCAATCGTAACATAAAAAGGGCGCAGGGCCCAAACAACCCCCCTCCATCCCTGCAAATGCGTACAAACAATATTACTAAACCTTGTTATATTCTTCCTAGGCAGTTCAAGCAAGTAGTACGGTTATCCTGTACCTCTACTTCAGAGACTTTCGCACCACAACACCTGCTTACTTACGATCACGTTAGAGAGTCAATTTTTCATTGTACGTTTTCAGTTGACTAGGTATGGCTGCACGTAGCCTTCTGCGTCTATGCACTGGACAGGTTGCGCTCCCCCTAGCCGCACGGTGCTGTACGCGGCCGTTTCTTCATACGGTGTTGCAGCCATCTCTCTGTCCCTATGTACGACCCTATAGTCGTTATCAGTGGTTGGTACCCGGTGCGACAGCGGGTGAGGCTGCTGCCGAACCCCAAGTCAGCGTGGCACCACCCAAGCCCAAATACAACGTCAGGCCTATCACTAAAGGTAGGGTTACAAGTGAACACGGAGAAAGGGAACGACAATTGGGCGCAGTGGTAAGGTTATTACATAGGCGTCAGTGAGGCGGCCGACTTAAAACCACGGCAGATTGTACGATTAATACGTAATTCCCACTTGCCGTAGGCATCATGTGCAGAAGATATAATAAATGGATGGAACTAATGCAGGAGGCTTCGCGTAAGCACACATTACGCGGTCATGCATATTAGAACACACGCCCTCGCGCGTCGCCCTGCAAGGTACTTTATCCTTAACTAAGCCTTTACTTCCACTTCATACCTGCATTCCGGCTTCCACATGGTTGCAGACGACGTTGAAATCTCCTTCGCACGCTCCAGCGGTGCTGGGGGGCAAAAGTAAGCTGCCGTGCCGGGAACGGGGTTGCGTGAGCTCCAACCCGTTTACCTCGTCGTCACCAGTACGGGCGTATGCATGTATCGTACCTCAATAAAATTTCTGAATCCACTGCCGCCTCGGCGGACACTCCTTCGCCTCCTGCCCCATGCTTCTGCTTGGTTTGCTGTCCCAGTGCGCCCTACCCATTCCCTAGTAAGCATAATCGCTAAAATGTTTACCACTTTTTAAATTATGCCTTTGTATTGGTGCGTGTGTGCGTGCATGTATGTATGTATGTATGTATGTATGTATGTATGTATGTATGTATGTATGTATTATGTATCTCGACAGCGTCAACAAGGTGAACACCAAGGTGGACATGCGGTTCGACCTGGGCAAGGCGTCCTGGGTCCCAGACGAGGTCAAGGACGCCATTCGCCAGCTGGTATGTTTTCACCCAACAGTTGCAAGAGTAGCACCAGCAGCAGCATGGCACCAGAACCAGAACCAGCACCAGCATCATGAAGCCTAAGCAACGGTCCCTGCTCCCGGGTCCGCGCTTTAGGTACCACCCACCCACCCGCCCACTCGCGATGGCAGCGGCTTCAGCAGCACCTCTGCTGCTCTCTCATTGTGTTTGTTTCTGCAGCTTTGCATGCTTGATTGGCGCAAAATCAAGTGAACGGGCTTGCGCATGCATGCGTGCGTGTAACAACGCACAGCGTGAGCACAATATACCTCAACAACAACTTGTCCCGTAACCCGCATTGTACACAAACCTAGGTACGCAACTAGACACGTACTTTGACTCACGTTGCGATATACATGGTCGAGGACAGCTGCTCCAGCCAGCGCATCCTCTTCAGAGTCACCCTCAAAAACCTGCCTGGACTTTGCCTGCCCAGAGAGAGCGTCTGAATTGCATGCTTGGAAGCCTTGATGTTACTTTGGGACTGACTGGCTGCTAGTCCTGTGTGGTTGTCTGGCTGCCGTATTTCCCGCTCAGGAGAAGAACCGCTTTACAAGTGACGGCGTGCTCGTGATGCAGTCACAGCGGTTCAGGACGCAAGCGTAAGTATAGTGCCCTCTCGTATCTACATATCCCCAGGACAAGTGCGAACGACCGCGCAAAGCATGCGGAACAAAAACCTCTAATCAGCCGCTGTCGCCTATGTGCCGTCAGCAGCCGAGTGATGTCTGTGTGCTTGTTCTCCGCTGCGGCGGGAGCTCCGCTAACGGCGAATGGTTTCCTCCACACGTGCAGGCAGAACTTAGACGACGCGTTGGCGAAGCTTCAAGAGATCATCGATCGAGCTGTCGAGCATGTGACACCCAAGGAAGCGGACCCCGAGACCATCAAGAGGGTCAAGGCGCAGTGAGTATATGTCTGTTTGTCTGTCTGTTTGGGAGGGAGGGAGGGAAGGATAGACGGTATGCTGGACCTTCGGGGCGAGCGGGTCGAACTGTTTAAGAACTGTGTGCGCACAGCGTGTGTTGCCCGCAGCCGCCGCAGCAGCAGAGCGATCAAAAATACTAGCCTTACGTTGAGTACTCTTAACTCATCTTTAAATGAACTGTGATAGATGTTGCCAAGCAAGGATGGCGTAGGAATGCGTGAGGCAATTACGACCGCGCTGTTGGGCATTCCAGCTTAGCACAGCCCCCGTCAGGTCCAGACGTGCGGCTTCCTAACGCGTATCCTTCTTGCCGAATCGTTCGCTTAAGAGATGAGGTGAAGAGCGACTAACCGTTATACGATTCAGCGGCCAGATGGGTGCTACTTGCCTGCGAGCAGAGGAAGTTGGAGTACTGCTTTCCGGGAGGGTGGAAGAGGGGGAGGAGGAGGGGGAGGGGATCTGAAGTGTGCACCGACGCGCGGGCTGTCGTGTACCAGGGCGCGAGTGGCACCAGCCCCCTAGCTGCAGTGGAGTGAGTACTGGCGATGGTTGAATGCTTGCTAAATGCCCATCCAGAGCACTCCCAACACTGAAACGTAGTTGCATAGCTCGTACGACAAATCTTGCTGAAAACGTGCACAACCGCTTGCTCACCCAGGCCAAATACTATTATGTAACCTTGCTTGGATTTACTGCTGCGCGTTGCTTGTCAGGCTGTTTGTTTTGAGCTTTCAACCATTTGCTTCTTTCTCCTGACTGCTGCGGCAATCCAACAATGAATGAACTTGAATTCATTTTGCATGTATGCTCGCGCGACCTATTTAACGCCGTCTGTACGTCCTTCCAGGATTAAGGCAGGCAAGGAAAGGCGGTTGGAAGCAAAGAAGAAGGACTCGATGCGCAAGAAGGAACGGTCCCGGCGTGATTGGGATTGAGACGGCAACAAACGAAGACGAACGAAGGAGCGCTCGGATGCTCGGATATCTTTACATATTCGGCTCGCCACTTGCAACAGCAACGCACTGCGGCATGCAGAATAGTGTCTAGTGTATATCTGCATGCGTGCCTGAATACTGCGCAGGTGTGTGTGGTCGGTGCTAGCGGCGGTTGTTACTTGGTTAAGCTTCTAGTGCACATGTGCGGCACTTCTTCGTGAAGTAATCCCTATTGGAGGGTTGGGACTATACAGTGCCCACTAAGTGCTTCGTTCGATGCTTTGCGGTCCGCCAGAACAATGGGGGAGCGAGTGTGCATATGAACGTAGCCACCAGGCAGATGCAGCGGTGATGGCAATGGACGGGTAATAATAAGCAGCTAAGCGCCGTCGTCTCCTGCCGGCGGGATAGAGTGCGTGTAAACGTCCGTTGGTCCGCTGGCCGTGTAGTGTGTGCCCGTGATGATGGCTGGTGGGTTGTATGTGGCGGTGCTTGCAGTGGCACGCACATACGTATAAATCTGCTGCATTTTATTTTGGTAGGCGCATGCACGCCCATAAACGCGAACGCAGCCTTAATTTTTCTTCGCAATCCAGTTCGGTGCAGTGGATAGATTATTAATCGAAAGCATTTGCGAAAGATGCGACGGGCGTGGAGCGGAGTGCGCCTTCTGCCGTTGCTTGGTGCTACTTTATTGCTCATTCTTTTAGTGAAGGTAAGCTATACAGAGCGTACATATCGAGCGCCGAGGACGGTTGAGGGGGGATGCGGGGGCTTGCATCTGCATCTCGCGCAATGCATCAGAGATATACGTACAGAATCTGGAAATCATTATCTGGGAATAGGGCAGTTTGTATGACGGAGATGTGCACTCCCGCGGTGTGTGTGTTGGCATTTTAGCAGCATAAGAAAGGCCTTCGGCTGCTGGCCCTCGGGCCCACGGCTTGCATGGGCCCCAAGGGTACACCTCTGGAAGGTAGCGCAACTCAAAAGGTGTAACACACGCGCGCACACACACACACACACACACACCAGGCGTCTTTTTAGCATCCGATTATTATTACTACGCATGAGTCTCCTTCCCGGTAGGTAGAACGGCATCTAAACCCGCGCATTGGACGGACGGACCAAAGAGAAACCCGCAGTGTCTGTCATCAACACCTGATCGAGTCACTACAAGTTGCTAGGTGAGTTGTCGCAAAAGCTAGCGGGACTTAGGGCCAGTTGGTTCTTAGGACGAGATAGAAGTCAAGTAGGGGACGGTATCATTGGCGGGATCGGCACACCAGGAGACGACCGGTCCAATACTGGAACAGAAGGTACCAGGGCGAGCCCTGTACAACGGCCCCGGCAAACCCCTACAACCTTTAATCCCAGAGCCCCAGAGACCCTTGGGTACAGCCATTGATCTGGGGCCTGGGTAAAGGCCTGCAAAGGAGCAGTCAGTCTTTTAGCATGTTCCATGTAGGACATCAAGCTTCTGTAGCAAATCGGGTTTGCGTGCCGGAACGCAGTGCCTGTGGGGTGCGGTGCTTCGCACCAGCGGAATGGAAAAACATGCATACACTCCAACATCCTGACACATACATTGTAGGAGGGCCTTGCCGCAAAACCCCGTGGCACGCTGAAGGAGGCTTATTTTTCCGAGACCAAGGTATTGGGTTCCATACTCGTGTACGATGCACTGGTGTAGGCCCACCACACTCGGCACCCGCCAACCAGAGGTCCCAATAATCGCTCTGCTGCCGACATGCATTACCCCGCTTGGTGCAACCCTTGTGTCCCGGTCCAAGCCGCCGTCTACTTCCACAGAGCCACAGCTGTCTCCGGGCCCCCCAGCAGTCGCTGCACAGTTCTCGCAGCGTGCATGTCAATCAAAACCAAAATACCAGCAAGACCAAAATGCCAATCCACTGGTCCTTCATCCCTGCACCTGCTGTTGAGCACATGGCCGCTGCAGCAATACAAGCACCAATCTATCAGCACATCGCACTCCGCTGTGACTTTCTATCCATGACTAAGCAACCTTGCCCTGCCTCAGCCGTCCCACATTGCCATCAAGTCTAGGGAACGGAGTCCGAGGCACCCCATTTGCTTGAGGCCTGTATCACGCTCCCTGCCATGGCAAACAGCCCTGCGATGTCCCTTCCTGCCTCTCCCCGCCAAGACCTGGTTTGAGCTTTGGTCCTGGCAGGCAGGCACCCAAACGCAAGTCCCACACCAAAGAAACTAGCAAAATATAACGACCTGCACACTTACATCTGTCGCCTGTCTGTAAGTCCGTTCATTTTATGTTGGCATTTCCTGTATTGGCACCAGCTGCATCTACCTCATACCGCTACTTCTTCTAGTCCTACGTATTCTAACTGCTAAACCCGAGGTTGATCGTCAAACACGTCCGCTCGTGAAGGTAGTAGTTAGCGCTCGAAGCATATCCAGTTTTCTCATCCCCATCCGCCTAGGAAAGGAGTTTCTTGCTTAGGAGAACTGCATCCGGCGGTGAGAGCTTCTTGTAGTAGTCCTTCACTGTCTCCTCGACCTGGAAGCCGTGGCGCTGGTAGAAGCAAATTGCATCATCGTTGCCCACCTACAAGCAAGCAGGCAGCCATAGGGCCCTTGATACCTATGCATTGAGGACGTACGGCATATGGCGCTTCAGGCCTCAGGTTTTACTTCATGCCAACCTAACGATGTCGTTATGGCCGCGTGTTCGCATGTCAAACAAACAACGCCGGGCTATAAACATAAATGCAGCTGCACAAGACGACATAACTTGTGTTGGGAGTACAGGCTTTGAGGCAATTCTGTTTCCGTACAAGATCAGTGCTGGATCGTCAGGAGCTGCAGGCATATAAACCCTACTACAGAGAGGTAAAGGCTTGAGATGCTTTATGGCACCTCAGCAAAGCAACCACATCCAGGACTCCGTTCCCAGTTAGACATCCCATTGATCAACTAGCCACCTGCCAATCCGCAACTCCACTGCTCACCTCACCTAGCCGCCCAGCCTCCATCCACTTGGTTTTCCATCGCCCAGCCCTTTACCACTACTACACCTCCGAGCCAGCCCTCGTCCCAGCCCTCCCGAGGTTGATATGCCCCCCCAGCCAGCTAGACCTCGTCCCGCTCACCTGCACGTGCACGGATGCCTCCTCGATGTTGGGGTCCTGGGCGCAAGCAGCCAGGGTGCGCGTTAGCAGCTTGCTGCCTGGGGACCCGGGGGAGGTCAGCGGGTGGAGTGGGCAACGAACGGAGGTCAGCGAGGAGGGGCTGCTCCTGTCTGTTTGTAGCCTGAATGGCACAACGGTGTTTTGCATTTATGCACGTTGCATACTGGCATGGCAGGCAAGCAGGAGCTTTTACAAGTTAAGGCTCCATGGACTCCGTGCGGCTCCACGCTACGAAACCCCCACTAGGAACGGACATCCAGAGCTGGCACCGGTATGATGTGCAGCTGTGTTAACCCATTGCACTGGCGCCACTCAGTAGAGTGGTATGAGCTAAGGAGACTTTGGCTACGTCCTGCTCGTGATAGCATCGTGCCTGCGAAATGCACGTCTTCCAGAGCGCTGTCCCGTACAGGTGCTGGCTCGCGAAAGTGTGTGGCACACCGTGAGATGGCGGGACCAGGTGCACGCCAAGGCGCAGGAAGCCGTTCAAGCCGTGGCTCATTTGAATGGACGCGGGCAGTCATCGGCCCTGTTAAGCAGCTGAATGGGACTCCGAGCGTCCCTGGGCGGAGTCGCTTGTTATGCTGTGTTTGCTAAGGTTGTCGACCCCGCTGACACACTCACCAATCCCAAAGTTGCGGTATGGGGCCAGCACACCCAGCGTGGCGATGTATGCTTTGGCCTTGCCGTTGGGCTGTAAGGTAAGGCGTGGACAAACGCGGCATGGGCAATATAAATGTGAGAGACTGATGAGGGACGGACCCATGCGTGCCTCCGCGCGCTGTCAACCTACTTTGAAACACAACAACACCCACGAGTTCGGAGAAAAGCATACATACAAGCATACATATCAGCCAGGCATACATAGCGCACGTTAATTAAGGGCAGCAAGTGACGCGAGCAAACTAAGCCGGATTTTTTGCTGCTCCTGCTCGTGTGTTGCAGGTAGGTCAAACATCGTACAACCGCTTACCAACCCCCACCTGCTTCTCGCAACGAGTTGCTATTGCGCCCACCAGGATGTCGTTGTGGAAGGCTACATAATGTTGCGGGTCATGGTATCAGCATTGAGTAAAGTAAGGGACTTCGGATGATCCAGCCGTCGGCGCGGGGTGACGAACTCACCTAGTTGTGTAAGCTCACCACATGCCATACATTGACGATAGATCTCATCCTTTACGCATATGGAAAGCACCCACACTTAGCAACGTGACTCAGGCTTTTAACTGCCAAGAATCCATGATGCGGCTGACAGTAACATACCGAGTATTTAATTGGAAAGATGACATTATTAAGGAGCTTTAATTGCTCTAAGTTCTTCTCTCTTACGACATCGAACGAGACTGCTAGCTCGCGTTTTTCCATTTCACGTATTTCAAAAATGCAATTTTGGTATAGCAGCTATACCTATTAAGAAAGCAAATGACACGCATAAACCATGTTGCCGACTTTTCTGGGTAAATCCATAAGGCCCTTCCGCCTCTTGCTTGTCAGAGTTTTCATTCTGCCAGCGTTCTTTTCTGGATAATTTGCCTTTCAAAGTGACAACCTTGCTCCCTTCACCTGTTAAGCCCTATCAGCCTGGGTTGCCCTGCAAGCACTGAATGACCTGAATAGTCGCAGCTCCTCAATACTGATGGGGCGGCCTGGGCTGGCTGCTTGTGTACAAATATGACAGAGAAATGCTTTGCAACCCACAGATCTATGCAGATACAATCCTAGCCGCGAAGGGCGAGCCGGCCTTGCCTAGCCAATTCTAGCGTAACTCCGCACTGTGAACAACGACAGGTCAAGTCCTACCGGACGAGTAGCATGCTTGCTCGGCAGGTTCATAGCGCTCACTCCAGCGTGCATCATCTATGGGTCGATAGGACGCAGAGTGTCGTACCGCTCACGGCGCAGACCTGCTGCCCCCGGCGATACCATGCGCCCACGCTTGCGCTTACCTCCAGGACTGGAACCTGTGGCGGTGGCTCCGGCAGCAGAGCGTCAAAGGCTGGCCCCAATGAGCCTCAGGCAACACCTGAGGCAACCAGTAACGCACCGTTGGGAACTCCGAGAGGATCCTCGTCCCAACCGCTTGCCGACCGGGCCCATTCACCCACCCAAACAGACAGCTCGGGAGTGGGCGAGGTCTCAGTCGCTCCGCAGCTCGCCTCCGCTGCCCTATGGCAACCCTCCGTCACAGATCCGCCACGGCGGGAGGAGTTGTCAGTGGGCGCTGGCGGTGGCCGTGGCGCCGATCGTCCACTGCTGGTTAGCGAAGCCGCCACTGCCACCACTGCCGCCGCCGGCTGCAGCTCCGCCGCTCCTGAGCCAGGGCAACACGGCGGCGCTAGGGAAAAGCAGCAGCAGCAGTCCCGGCGCATACGTGAAAGCTCGAAGTCCAGCGAACCGGTGCACGTGGAAGCGCAATCTAGCAGCGCTCCATCTCTTCCGCAGGCCGCCGGCAGTTGGGAAATTATGGAGCACGACAACGCACAGCAAACCAGTAGCGTTTTAGGAGGCATCGGCCCCGGCAACTGGGAGACAGACGCAACTGGCGATGGCGGCGCAGGGACGGATGCTACTGCCGATGTCTTTGGACTGCCTTTATGGCTGGATGGCGCCTCCGCCAGCTCGCTTGACAGCTTGGTTCCCGCCAGTGTAACCGCAGTTGATGAGGGAAAACTTGAGGAGATCGACTGGGAACAGCTGGATTTCGAGCGCGCATGGCCGAGGACCTTCGACCTCTCTACCGTCTACAGCGCCGCGTCCGCCACCACCCCTGGCAGCAGCAGCGGCGGCTCTAGCTTCAGACGCCGACGACGTGGTAGCGGCGGTGATTGCCTCGATGACGATGAGGATATGTGGGAGTTTGGGGCGTACATGTACGACGAGCATTCTGACAATGGTGTCAGCGGGGCGCCAGCCGCTGCGCGGCGCTACCAGGACGCCAACCTTTTCGCCTCTCATGCTCAGTCCTTTTCAGGAGGGCTGGCCCGCCGTGGCGGCGGCGGCGGCAGCGGCATAGCCACTGCCAACGACACAGGCAACGGAGGCGACATTTGGCCCCAGCGGCGGGGCCGCGACCGCCGAGGCCGCGCCATCGGCCGCCGGTGGCAGGACACCTGGGATGACTGGGACGGGCCCGGCGGCGGCCAGCTAGGCGACTGGGGACGCACCTGGGTGCGCGCAGTGGCACCGGCCGCTGGCCTGGACGCCCAGAAGTGGGACAACGCCGACTTTGACGTCGACAGGGATTTAAATGATAAACGGACGGCAGCCGGCGGCGTCCTCGGCGGCAGTGGTAGCGGCAGCGGCGGCAGTGGCAGGGGCGGCAGTGGCGGCAGTGGCAGCGGTGGCAGTGGTGGCAGCGGTGCCGGCTGTGGCGGTGGCGGTGGCGGCGGTGGCGGCAAGAAAGCGACCCTGAGGTCGGAGAATGAGCTGCGGCAAGCCCTGGTAAGCAGCCGTCGCTGCGCGCGATGGGGCAGGCACCGAAGCGACCCCTTTACCCCTTGAGACGTGTCCCATACCGCATTCATTGCTTAAAGGATTGCATTAACTGCCTTATGCTCCTGGTTGGATGGTTCCCGGGGGAGTCTATACCGGGCTGAGTGTGCCCTACACACCTGTGCCACCGTACCGCAAATCCTACCCGGACATGCCGGCGAAGGAAGTTGCGTGGAAATCACAGCCGCCTTAAGACCATGGTTCCTATTGGACTTGCCAAAGGTAAAAACGCTCTCTAGGCCCTGGCGGATGCATTCTGTAGGGCACATCGCCTGTCCGCTTGCCCCCCGCCCCGCTGTTGCTTTAACGTCGTTGTCTCACTATGTCTCATGGCCGTCGAGCCATGAGGTGCCCCCGGTTCTCACCCCGGTTCCCACCCTTCCGCATAAATGCAGCAGCCCATGCTCCCATCGTCCATTTCGCAGGCTGCGGTTAGCACCCGGCTTCCGAGGGTTGGCTTGTCGGTGGCGTTTCCGCTCCCGCCAGCCGGGTGCGCGGCCACAGAGGACAAAACAGCCGCGGCAGCGGACTCCGAGCCGCCACCGCTAGTGCTGGCGGCGAAGCAGTCGGCAGCGGTGAAGTCACCAGGAACTGCCGACACCCCGGCGCCACCGCCGGCGACGAGCCCCAAGGTAGCTAAGCCTAATTGGGCGACAGTAACCTTGTCATACAACTTTGGGTCGAGCTTCAAGCTGCTTGAGGAAAAAGCGGTGACGAGAGAAGTGCCTTTACCGGAGGAGCTGCTCCTCCTGGCGGGCCGCCCGCCGGACAGCGGTGCCGGCGGCGGCGGTGGCGGCGGCGGCGGCGGCCGCTCTGCCGTGGATGCGTTGTTGCCCGGCTGTACTGCGTACACTATCGCTGGCGACTACCACGTCTTGCTGGTGCAGGTGGGGTTGTTGGGGCATAGAGCAAGGTAGCGGGTGCGAGCACGTGCGGGTGTGGGAGCCATACTGTCCCGAATCGGGAGTGGCTGTCGATGTAGCGAGCACGGAAGGCGCCTCACCACAGTCCGGGGGCTAATGGACTGGCAATGGACTAGAATGGTGGAGTGGGTCGCCGCACCACTGCTCCAGGAAAACCTATTCGCCCAGCCGCCTAGGCAGTTACACCCCTCCCTGCACTGCATGGCCCTTCGGCCCGGACGGCACACGACCTGCTCATCACCACTACCACACCACCACCACCGCCACCACCCCATAACGCCTCCCACACACTCTTCACTCTTGAGGAACCCTCGTCTGCCATAGCTTCTCACCACATTGCCGGTGCGGGCGGGTTATTGCGCATGTGCAGGATGGTCGCTCACTGGCCCCTGCCGTGGCCTGGTTTCGTGCCTCCCTCGGAGAGGATCGGGTGGTGGGCATCGATTCGGAGTGGCCACCCACTTTTAAGACGGGGGAGGCGCCCCAGCTGGCGATGCTGCAGGTGTGACGCGGTGCGGACGCACCCCACCGGGTGCGGGCGGGAACCGGAACTTGACCGTAGCGGATGCAATGAAGGGGGGGGATGAAAGGTTGGGGGCAACGGGGAAACGTTGGCATGAGCAGGGGAGCTCAATTTGAAGCAAGCTGCGGGCCGGATCTCAGCCCATGGGATGTGGCTTTCCTTGCCATCCTGCTTTTTGCCGTTCTGTCCTACCTTGGACCACACCACCAGCGGAGTCCTTCACCGGGGGGGGTGTAGCAACCCCGCCCTGGTTCCTGGCGCACCCGACTCGCACCCGACTCGCGCCCTGGACCCTGCAGTTGGCAACCTCCAGCCGAGTGCTGTTATTGCACATCGCACGGATGCGGCGCAAAGAAGTGATAGGTGCGTTGGAACGGGTGCAGCGGGGTGTGGTACTAGGCACGGGTGCGGGTTGGAACTGGGAAGGAGTGGGTGCGGGTGCGGGTGCGAATGCGCGTGCCGTCCTAGGGGTATGAGTGCACCTGATGCTCCGGCAGCCAACACACTATCTAGAACCATCGGTGCAAATGGGAAGCCCCTGCTTCATGGCATTCGGGCTGCGTCCCGTATGGTTATGGTCTTTCCTGGCCTCGCGGCGTCCTGCACCTCAATTCCCTGTGCACTTCTCCGCCGTGGCACCCCTCTTCCCACTGCGCTCATCCCCATCCTACCCCACCCCCCTGCTAACGCCACGCTGTCCCGTCCCGCTCCTCGCCCTTCCTGCCAGCCCCCGGCGGACCCATCCACGTGCTCCTCTCCGACCCGTCCCTCACGTGGGTGGGCTCGGGCTGGTCCAACTCCGACCGCACCATCGTGAAGGGGGCCTTTGGCGGCGCGACACTGCCGCCGGCGGTGGTGGACGTGCAGGTCGCGGCGCGGGCGGCGGGCTGGGGACGTGTGGGGTTGCTGGCGCTGGTGAACGACCTGCTGGGCATGCGGGAGTTCCAGAAGCCGCGCAAGCTTTCCATGTGCAACTGGGCGGCGGCGTCCCTGTCGGAGCGACAGGCAAGATTGTGGTGGTGGGAGCGGCGCGGCCCGGGGGGCCGGGTGGGGATATGCGGGACGGGGCGGGTAGGTGTTGGCCCAGAGGGAGACGAGACATTGAAAAGTGCTGGGGCCAGCACCGTTTGGGGAGGTGTTGCGAGGCGGTCAAAGGGGCGTGAGCGGGTTGAATGCGCCAAGGGATGCCAAGTTATCAGGGAAAATGCCCGATGGGGCTTTGTCGGTGGCTCCTTTACTCACGAGGGCGGAATCGAACCCGGATCTTGCCTTACCCGCAACGCTGCAAGAGGCCATGTCTTATGTTTTTGTTTACCCCTCTGGCAGATCCGCTATGCCGCCCTGGATGCTCTGCTGCCACCCATCCTCCTTCGGCAGCTGCGCCTCTTCGCGGCCCTGCCGGCCCTTCGCTGTGGTTTCTGCAAGCAGGCAAGTGGCAGCGGTGCATTCTCGTGCCACTGCAAATCCGAACGCTTTTGCATAAAACATGCAGGCTGTTGGTTGCATAGTCAGGGGTAGAATTTATTAAGCTGGGTCATCGGGGCGCGGCAACATAGCGTTGTTGAGCACATAGCGACCACTGCACAGCGCGTTCCTAGCCATTACGCCGTGGAAATCATTAAGGTCCTCGGTGCCTTAGAAGTGACTTCCTCGCTAGCGGCCATACCAACGCTGCTGTTATCAACAACTTCGTGCAAGGCACGTGAAGGCGGATTTGCGGCTTGACGAGGCGCATTCCGCGGCTCTCGTGTGACCCGCGGGTCAAACCACGAAGCACCCGGTGCTTGAAAGCCATCTGCTAATGGCGGGCCGAGGTCGCTTGCAATATGTGTGTTGGCGCTCCCGGCGACCTGGACTCAAAGCCGGGAAGCCCGGACCCTGCTGGTAAATCAAGAATCTCCCGCAAACCTCCGCTCTGGCCCTAGACGCCGTCATCTCCCCATAGCTGCTTCGGGGCGGGAGACATGGCTTTATGCTTGTTGCTTTCCTAAGCCACTGGTTACCCCGATTGCTCCCATGTAGAGGATGCATGCGCCAAAGGAACATGCAGCCATGCCTTCCGGGCCGCCGAATGTCCTGGCGCAAGCTGTGTCCGTTCGTAGTGCGGTGTGTGAACACTGCGGTCGCACTGTCCAGCTGTCAGACAAAGGAAACGCCGCCGGCAGCGATAACGACGGCGGCGGCGTCGCCGCTGCGGCCGCGAAAATGGCGGTGGTGGCTGCGGCGACGAAATCCTCGGCGCGCGGTGCTGACCCACGGGTCAAGGCATCCACGGGCCCCGCTGCCAGGCCAACATCCAAATCCGGTTCACTGAGGACCTACTTGCAGGGCGTTGTGGACGGCATGCAGCTGCAGAAAACATCAGAACTGCCGGGGAGGAGATCCCGGAGGCTGCTGTTCGTACCAGACCTGGATCCAAGCTCAGACACGGATTCGAAGCCAGGCTCGGACGAGGATTCAGGGTTGGCTTCGGGTATTGCCTCAAACAGAGATTCTGGCAGTGGCAGCACGCTTGGCGAAGGAGGGGACCGGGGCGGGGAGCCGTTGTCGCCGTCACCAGCGGCGGAGGCGGTGGTGGTTGGCAAGAGCAAGAGCAAGAGCAAGCGTAAGAAGAAACGTGCGGCGCAGCCTGTAGCCGTGAGCGGCGCGTCATCGCCATCCTCGTCGTCGCCGTCGTCTTCACGGCAGCAGGCGCTTTGGGACGCTTTTGAGGATGCCTCCCCGGCTGCTGCTGCCGCGGTAGCCCTGGTCATGTCTGGCCAGGAAAACAGCCGCAGCTGCACAGAAGCAGCAGGGTAACTAACTCACCGAAAGCTAACCACGCAATGAGAGCACACTCGCAGAGGTGTGCGAGCAGTTGCCCCTCGCCAAGGGACCTCCCGATGTTCTGCTCACATGCACTTGTTTTCTTCGCCTAAGACTACGCCGAGGAGCAGCTGCATCCGCTGGCTAGGCTCCGGCAGAGGATCCCCGAGCGGGAACGCGTAACTTTTGCGACTTCGCACTGGCGGTGAGGCAGTGGTGGATATGCTTGCCTGCCTGATGGAGCAACATGTTTCCGTCTCCGATAGGACGCGCTGCCGTTTGTGTGGGTGTGTAATGAGCATCGTAAAGCTTGGGTATGGCACGGTGTGTATGGGAGACCTGTAGAAAACATTACTATCCATGCCGTCTTTCAAACTGGCAGGATAGCAGGGTATTTTCGCCTGTGAGCAAGGTGCGCAACAGCGACGGCGTGTAACCGATTGGCGACGAGTGCGGGATAGCGGTGGTAGGTAGGGTTGTTAACGGTCATGCCAGGATCGGCTAGGATGCACACTTTGTGCTCCACAGGCAATTTTCCAGGCATAGCAATTCGTGCAGTCAGCTGCTGTGAGTGGATTCATCGTGGTAGATGGATGCTTAGGAGCGAGGGGGGGGGAGCGGCTCGGGATGGTGCTGGATGATGTAAAGCTCGGCACACGACAGTCACGGCATCGGCGCAGGGAGGCCCTCAACGAGCTGCGCGGCAGTGTGCACTGGACGACTTAGGGTTTTGGGTTACGCTGGTACGACAGCCAGGGATTTGAATGAATCCATGGAGCTACATGTGGGTGCAAGGATATAGGGACTGAACGGAAATTTACAGCGGAAAAGTATACGGGGAAAAGTATACGGTGGCCATACTGGAAACAATGCCGAGAGTCGTAAATTGCAACCCTCTAGCGAAAACGTATTTCATCGTATAAGTTTTAAAGTTTGCCGCCATTAATACAGGGCTCAGACGACTTGTTCCTCACACTTTTCGACCCAAATGCTTGCGTGTATATCGTTCAACGATGAGAACTGACTGAAAGTAGAAGTAGAGTGTTGATAGGATATTGCAATGTCAACTGCGTTGCATGGCACCGTTGAAGCTGCCGATGATTGAACCGGTGCCAGCGTTGCACCGTACAGAGTGCCATTTTGGGAGGTAGCCTTCTGGTGTCAAGCATCTGCGGAGCAATATATGACAAGCTAGGGAACTAGTTGCTGACGGAGCCTCCAATATTTTCAAAGGTGTTCTTCAACAGAGAAAGCCGAGATGTAGGCCAATAAGGTTGCTTAGATGCCTGCTGTTTAGCTTTACATTCATTTGGTAAAACACCATTACCACTCTGGGGAAAAATGAGCACACCAGCGACGCCACTGGGTGACCGCTTGAGCCGGCGAAGCAGATACGAGGCGCTGGTCTCCAAGTACGAGGCAGCAGCGGAGGTTGTCCGAACCCATGCCGATACGGTAGGCCTGGGCGGAAATTGCAACTCGTTGGATTGTGTACCTACCTTTCGCTTCTACTCTTGGCTACGGCAAAAGCGGCAAACCTTGAGGCCAGTACGGCCTATGTTACGGCAATACTAGCATTGAAAACTTGAGAGTTGGGCTGGCGCCCAACTCGTTGACAGGGGGTTTCTAAACCCCCTCAAACCATCTCCCAAGCAATACCCACGCGCCACTTCCCATGCCTGGCACATCTCTCCTGCGCGACGCCAACAGGACGTGCAACTCCAGCCGCAAGACCAGCCGATTGCGGAGGAGGAACCGGAGCCGCAGCAGCTGCAACGGAGTCCCCCTGCCTCCCCCCGGCCCGTGGAAATTGAAGCGGATGCACAACTGCCTCCCACTCGCTCCACCCGGTTATCTATGGGGGGAATACCCTCAATGGCTCCGCTGTCCCCGCTGCTGCGGCGCGGCAGCTCTGCTATACCCCCAGCTGATGGTGGCGGTAGCGGCGGGGGCGCCCCCATCGACGATTACAGCCCAGCCGCTGCAACGGCGCACGGCGGCGGCGAAGCGTGTGAGCATGGTAGAGCGGAGCCACCGTGCGACGGCGACCTTGACTTGGAGAAAGGAGCTGCCGGCAGCAACAACGGCCTTTTAAGGCGGCAGGTCAGCGGCGGCAGCGGTGGAGGCAGGGATGGCAGCCCATTCGCTGCTGCTGCAGTGGGCGCTGCGGTTGCGTCAGGCCACGGGACGCACCGCAAGCCTCGCGGCGAGAAGCAGAAGAAGGCGCCCCTTGTGTCAACCTACTGGCTGAAAATTGACTTCATGGGGCGGGACACCATGATCCGGGTTGACAAGCATAAGGTGGGGTTCCAGGACAAGAGCCGGGGGCATACGCGGTGTTGCTGTGAGTGCTGCTGGAACTGCATCTTAGGCCAGTTCAGGGCGGAGATCTGAGAGCCTTTAACCCCCATGCCCTGTGTCACAAGGGCGGATAATGGGGGTGCCATAGGCGACAGCCCGAACATGCAGTGCGGGCGAACTTATCTGTGGCCGAAAGTAGGGGGTCCTAGACTGCCGCCGGAAAGCCCTCGGCACCTTGCTGACTCCCGTGGCGTCAACCTGCCCCGCGCTCCGGCCCCCATTCTTTCCGATGCTACCTTTTTCCAGCTCATGCACAAGCTGGGTGTTCAGGCTCGTGATCTGCGGCTGCTGGACCTTACATCTGCAACGCCGCCCGCCATTCTGGGCCGTGACAAGGCCATCATCGTCAACTTGTGGTACATGAAGGTGGGTCCACGGTCTGTGCTATGATGGGCGGCTGTGACGGGGCTGTGACGTTCGGGAAGGGCTGAAGGAGCGGAAGGGGAGGCGCTAGACGGCGGGGATTCCCGGAAGTGGCGCCTGCTCACCCCAGCGGTACCTTTACCAGCCCGCTCCCAGGAGTCACCGATTGCGGTGTGATACGGTGAGGCGGGTGCGAGCCACGAGGGCGGTGGTGCCCCCTTGGACGTCGGTGGTGCCGCAGGCCGCAGACATGACGTCGGGCGGACGCGGCGTCTCGGGAAAGAGTGGCATATGGAGGGTCAACGCATGGATAAGAGACCGCGAGCACTAGATGCTATGGGACATGAAGTCCAGACAAGGAATAACGAAGTGCATGCGTTGACAGGGTGCTTAGGACTAGCCAGCATGTGGCGCACAGCTGGGAGCACCGGGCCGGCTTGCGGGGGCTGCATCAGGTGTTCCCGGATTACGTTTCCCGTTTTTTCTGGGGCTTTGAGACGCTCTCATATCGTGTCAGCGCTACGCCAGGCCTCTGAAGTCCTCCCTCTTCCCCGTCCCCGTCCCCCTCCCCCCGCATGTCCCAATCGCCAATGGTGACCATCGCGGCGGCGCCGATGGCTTGCCATGCGCTGGTGACGGCGGCCCTTGCTCTGCTGGTGCAGGCCATCATCACCCTGGATTACTGCCTGGTGGTCTCCCCGGACTCCATCGCGGATAACGAGGAACGCCAGGCGGTAGCAACATTCGTGGCGGAGCTCAAGGCCAAGCTGCAGCCGGCAAGTGGGACCGCATTGCATGTTTGGGAACGTGCGCAACGCATGTTTTCTCGGGTTAGGGTCGACGAAAGGTAACGACTAGAGGTGGGCGAGAAAGTGGACAGGGCGTTCAGTATGTGATTATACCGTGTAACAAGAGGTAAGTCATGGCCCGGACAGCGCGCATGCAAGCGGCCAGCTCCGAGCCGCAGCTCCCGCTGTTCTCCGCGCTTCGTCACCTTGCGTGCTCCCTGCCTGGCTTTGCGGGTGCCGGCAACATGGTCACTCCAGTTCCCGCTTATCGTCAAACCTGCCAGTCCTTTTGTCTTGCGTTTCTCCCCTGGCCGATCTTTGGCCGCAGGTCTCCGCCGGCCAGAAGTTCAAGTCATATGTTGGCCTTAATAGCGCCGCAGGATACGGCTCCCTGCAGCTGCCGTTTGAGCTCAAGGTGCTGGAGGTGTGCCTAGACATGGTGAGGGTGGCGGTCTACTGCCTGGAAACGTGGCTTTCGTAGAAGGGTGTGAGGGCATTTGTTTCGCGGCAACTTTCTCTGACTGGAAATGGCTCCTCTTCCTGGAAGCGTGATCCACCACGAAGAGGCGGCTTTGTTATGGCGAGAAATCCGCCTAGAAATAAAAGCTGGTACTCATCGTCATTACTGCTGACAAGGGTTAGCCCAGCCATGCCTTGGTTTGCAGTCCACACCCCCCTGAATGAATGCGCGTGTGCAACGACCCGGCACCATGCAAACAGACAGCCGCGAAGCTTGAACAAGACAGCAAGAAGCTTGAGGGGGACGCCTACCCTGATTTGGACGCGCTGTCGCACAAGGTGAGGGCGGGCAGAAGCACTGGACGGCCCTCGCACATTGGCACGGACGGCCCTCACACACGTGGTCGTCGGTGCTTCCGCTGCCGAGCACGGCCGCGTCTCAAGGGTTCTGCACTTTCTGACTTGACCCATATGTGGCGCGTTCCCCCCTGGTCGAGGCAGACGCAGCCGGCCAGCCCAACCGTACGCATGTGTGCAGCTCTTGACACAATGCGGGCGTGCCACTGCTCCGCTAGGACGTGGCGCCTGTACAGCGTTTGGCCTGATGTTACAAGCCGATCTGAACCCTGATTACAAGCTAACGTGCATGCGCCAACTATTCAGGCCTAACCCTTTTAGTGCTGGGCGCGTGCTGCGTGTGTTTCGCCACTCACCTGTCACTGCCATGGATGTCACCATCCTTTCAGTCCACGGCAGAAGAAGCGGGCAGTTAGTGTGTGTATGGGAGAGAATTGAGCCATGGAACCCCGGGAACCACACAAAGGCTTGGCACCTTGTTGTGCTATGTAGGTTAACGCAATCAATCTGGAGAGGGCGCGGCGAATCAAGAACTGGCTGGTGCGGCGGACGCGGGACGTGGAGTCGGTGCGAGAGGTGAGCATGCGTCTCTGCGGCTGGGGCTAAGCTGCGCTGGGCCGAAGCGCCATGGATGCACCTGCGCTGCTACGAAGGAGCGAGGCCAGCTGCGGCATGACGCACTGCTTGCGACGCGTATGACGTGAGGACGAACAGCGCCAAATGCACGTGCTGAGGTGCACAATCCGCATACAGACATCAGGCAAGCACCACGCATGCTTCACCTCCCCGCCCTTGCCAGGTCCTGGAGCGTTTCCTCAATGACGATGGGGACATGCACCGCCTTCACCTCACCGGTGCGGAGATGTCGCGGCAAGTATCCATGCGGCCTGGAGATCTGAGCCGTCTTTCGGCGGGACTGGTGAGCTGGTCAGGAGTATGCGTGGGGGAGTGTGCGTGTTTTGCCAAACTTCCTTGGCGGTCTGGGCTGCTCTGGATAAGGAAGGTTGCGTTGGTAGCCCGAGAGGATGGGCTGGAATGTGATTAACAAGAATTCATGTTTTCGGTGGTGCAATCTGGAAGGCACGTGGATCGCACCCACGTTGCATGTCTGACTGGGACTTAACACCGTGTTTTTCGCTCTGTTAAGGCTGCATGTAAATGCCATTCCTTCCCTCTGCACAATTCCTCGTTGAACGTCTCCTTTGCGCCTTCTCCTTCCCCCTGCTTTGTGACGGCTACCGCGCCGTCTCATGCGCACGGCACGGCTGCCATGCTCATGCTCACGCACCAGCTTCCAATGGCCACGGACGACAGCGACTCCTCCTCTGACTCCTCCATAGACGAGGCTGAGACGGCGGCGGTGGAGATGTTGTTAGAGGCGTACTTCATGCAGATCGATCACACGTACAACCGACTGCAGGTATACGGGTGTTATAGAACTACCCTGGTAGCGCTCACACATGCGAATTTTGATGGGATGTTGCGGCGTGCCGCTGTCGCGTGGCGCAGCAGCCGTTGTTTCTGTGTTGAGCTCCAGCTGTTGCTTTTGGCAACCGCACGAATACTGGCCGTTCGGTGAATGTGCTGCTCGCCGCACGTCATCAGCCTGCTGCCGCTGTTCAGCAACCCTACGGTCTCCTTGCCAACCAGCATGTGCGCGTGGTGAAGGCGCGACCGTGCAATACACGACATTGTCTTCTCTACGCGCTGGCCCTGTCACGCTACCGTGCAGAACCTAGACGAGTACATCAAGGACACGGAGGACCTGGTGACGATCAAGTTGGACCAGCACCGCAATCAGCTCATTACAATTGACCTTCTGCTCACGTCGTTCACCGTCGTGCTCAACTTGATGACGGTGGTAGGCGGCTACTTTGGCATGAACCTCAACTCCAACCTGCAAGAGGAGCCGCACCTATTCAAGGCCGTGGTGCTATCCACAACGCTGGGCGGCATCGCGCTTTTTGTCGCCTTCCTGATTTTTTTGGCGCGCCAGAAGCTGCTGGTTTATTGAGCGGGGCCACAGCTGGCTCCAGCTCCTACAGAAGTCTTGCCGGGCATGACGCGGCGCGGAACTGTTCTGCGTCGCACAAAGAAGAGCGAGCGCTGCACGGGCCGATGCACACTTCCTTACACTGCAGGCGGCAAGCCAGTAGGATGCTGAGCATGAAGGAGAAACGACAGGCGGACATTCTACGCTAGCAAAGGTTGCAAGCTGCTGCCATCCTGGTTTTGGCTGCTGGTGCCTCCCTGCTACTGGCAGACAGGGACACGGTGCGTAGCCCAGTAATGTGCAGCAAAAGGACGATGGTGCTACGCGGCTCGGCGGCTTTGGCTGGCTCATTGTAATCACGATTCGCGAATATCCGGGGTTTAGTGTAATTTGTGAAACGGAGGCGGCTTTTTTTCCTTCTTCGACGGTGTTGGAGGTGAACTGGCTGGTGGGCGGTTAGGCAAGAGGCTTGGGGAAAGGCGCGCCGGGGTTTTGGCCTGGTTTCGGCCTTCGGTGGTGTCTTGTGGATTGCGTTGTCATAGCACGTGCCGGGAAGATCTGTTGGTGGCGACAGGGCACTGGCAGCTGCAGTGCAGCTTATGCTGGCGCCTGTGCTCGGTCGCCGTAACTGACCATAGACATGGACTGCGGCACTCCGGGAGGTGCTGTCCTAGATTTAATTAGTTCCGTAGCAATGGGACATAATGGCACAGAGGATTTAGCGTGCGGACAGGACAAAAGCGAAGGCTCGTATCTTATTGCAAAGGCAGGGAAGTGGGGAATGACGCGAGGAGCCGGGTGCAGGCAGATTGTGTAGGGGTTACGCTGTGACACGCCTCCTAGGATAACAGGAAGCATAACGTTTTAGCTCTGTTCGGGCTCCTCTAACGCATGTCATGCGCCGGGACATGGCGACCACGTCCAATTATCGTGTCTGTGATGTGACAGCTTCGAGCCATAGGGGGGCATGTGTTGCCAAATACATGAGCGAGGTATGGCCGCCCTGCCGCAATAGATGAATGGGCGGTATATCGTTGTTAACCGACAGGACATGAGAGGACGATTGAAGCTGCAACGAGTGTGGTTTTGATGGAGGAATGCGGCGTCTGATTGACTAGCCTTAACGTACGCGCGGCAGTAATGCAGGATACGGACGATTTCATTGTGTGTCTAGTTAAAACGGACGGTCCTCCAGGGAACGCTCGTCCATGGGGAGCTTCACCGACACAGCCCGCGGCAAGAGCTATGTCTGCGTCTCGAACCCCCTTTCCATAAACTCCAGCTCCGGCACTCCCAGGCCCTATCCTGGGCGCCTTCCTTGCCTTCAATGTCGACGCGGAAATACGGGGAAGGCGCTTATGGCAGCTGCCGATTTCCTCGCGTTTATTTCAAACGCATAAGTAGAAGCTGAACCGCAGCCACGCCTACAGGTGTCGTGGTGGCTGACGAAGTTCGTTATGTCGTTACGGTGATAAATGCGGCTCGGCAGAAGGCGTGTTGTCGATGCAGGCACGTGCTACCAGGGTGGCGCTCTAATGTATACTCGGCTGGCTTTAGGGTTATCATGGGACCGAGCAGCCTGAAGGCCCTTACCAAGGACGGACCTTTAAACCCTCGTGGCTGCCCTTGCAGTTAATAACGGCTCATCACATCCTCCGTCTGTAGTAGGTCCGAAGGTTTGGGCTGTTCGCCCATTAAAGTGGTACGTGAGGTGGGTTCAAACGGAAGTTTTACAGGTATGGGGTCACGCACCCCCAACCATGTAACACACACACACACAATAACGGTTGGGTGTGGGCTTTGCACCGCGGTCCGCCGCAAGCACATGGTGTGACTGAAGAGTGCTGAAACTGCAGGGAAGTGCAGGCGGCCGCCGGTCTGCACAATGCTCATGCACATGGATAGTGTTACAGGGCTGGCCGAAGCGGCTGCTGTATGCATACGAGCAAATGGCAGTCGCACAACATGCAATCCGCAGCGGTACATCTCTAGCCTACGCAACAGCTCGGTGCAAGCTGCACAGGCGCGTACACCTTAGGAACGACAGCGCATGCCGCCTCAGATGCGGCCACACTTCACTCGCCATTTCATACGCGATGGAGGTGCCAGTAAGAAGGCTGAATGTAGGATGGGCATGGAGGCGCTGTGACTAGGAGTTATGCGCCTCTATTCAGTCTTCATAATCTGGCTTTTTGCAGGGAGTGGGGCTGGAGGTTAGACCTGGGGCTAGCTGGCGCAATACGTAGCGGCTACTCGTCTCCCGGCGGTTTGTGCAGTTATCACTGTAGTGGTAGCTGTACCACTTTTCTCGATGCTTTGCAAACATGCTGGTCCGGATGAAAGTCTTGATATCTCTCGAATAAGACCCCAGTCGCCAAGTGCACATTGGACAGCTCGGAGGTTTTAGAGCATAAGCACTTTCCCGTCGTCGAGGAGTGCGGGCGCAGGCCTTCAATGCTCAATGTTGTGTTATCTTTTTGTGGTTTTATGGGCTCCAGTACTTCTGGCGCATACAGGCCTTTGCGGAATGGTGGTCACTGCGTGCCTCCAAATCAACGCAAACGGGTTGCAACCTGCAAGCCCAAGCCTATTCGCTATGAAATTGTTAAGCTGCAGGATTCGTAGCCATGGCTGTATACCAATGGTAAATGACGGCTTAGTGGACGCAGGTCGGTAGACATGGAAAACACACAGACACACAGATTGTCGACTCATCCTTTTGCACAACACAGGCCATAGCCGTGTGCTGCTAGTGCACGCCCTTGCAAGTTGGCACGTATCATGGCACACTGTATGATCAGGCCTCTGCAGCTGGTTCGCAGCCACTGCGGGTATGCTAGGAGTGTACACGTGCATGGCCTGGGTAGGGCTCAAGGCCTGATGTTTCAGGTCTTGCCCACCAGGGCAACACAGATGAATTCAATCCTTATGCGGGTTTTCGAACAACGGGGCCGCTTTCCGGGTGACGGGTTATAACTTCGTACCCCGGGTTCCACTCCGATGGGAGTTGCCGGGAGCCAGTATGAGCCTCTAGTATCCTCTTCTCCTCCTGAAGACATTTTCATGAATGATACCCATGCAATGTGTGACGTTGCCGCGGATAGGTGGATCCAGTCGTAAGGAAGCCGGACGTCGGATGATAACTGACGTTCGGAACACTTCCACGGTTTTATACGATCTGGCCGATAGTAAAACATATTTCACAACATCTGTTTAGGATCAACATGCAGAAAATCTGAGCTCCTCATTCGCTGACCGATTGACTACCGTTACCTATCAGCGATGGCAAACACAGATAAATAATTATTCCACCTTTATGAGAGTTTTATAAAAGAAATTCAACTTGGCACAGGTTTATTCCTCACACTCTTCTCCATGTGACCGTTGCCCGCAGACGTACTACTGTTACGGAAGGAGGAAAGGATGCCCCCAATGCCCCAACCACCACCCAGGAAAGACCTGCAAATCACGTAAAACCTTGAAGGTTTGCGTAGGTTGTCATTCTGATCTTAGGCTGCAGCACGGCAGCAAGCGCAACCTGTGTTCTTCCGACGCGTAGACCTGCAGATACTGCGGCATAGACCAAAGCGGTGAACCAGACATCTGGGAAATAGGAATTGGTGTTCCTGATAGGGGCCTCACAGTAGATCGCCAAGATGGCACAGGCTGCGCCCCTCTTGGTGCAGGAGAAGCTCTCAGTGAGTAAATGCGTCGGGATCACGTTTATGAATTATCATCTGATTGCCGCGCGGTCTGGCCCGCAGCTTCCAAGCATCGGGGTGGCACAAGACTTCATTTCGTTCAAGAATGTGACGATGGAGTCCGATAAGTACATCTGCATCCGTGAGACAGGAGCGCAGAATACCGTTGTTATTGTGGATATGTCCAACCCGTTGTCACCGGCAAGACGGCAAATCAGTGCGGACAGTGCGCTCATGTGTTTGGACAAGAAGGTCATAGCGCTAAAGGCAGTAACAGCGGGGCAGGCAGGTGACACACTTCAGGTCTTTAATCTAGACACTAAGACGAAGTTGAAGGCCTACCAAATGCCGGAGACTGTGGAGTTTTGGAAATGGATCAGCCCGACAATGCTCGGCCTGGTAACATCTGCCGCTGTTTACCACTGGGACGTTGAGGTGGGTGAAAGGGTGCTAGCTCCTCTATACTCTAGGCCCAGCTTTGATGCATGAGGGGCGGTCGGTGGTTGCGCACCCCACTCGACGCTGGGGCTGAACCTTGTAATAATGTGGTGACGCCATGTGCTGTGCAGGGGTCATCAGACGCTCCTGTAAAGGTGTTCGAGCGCATCCCGAACTTGGCGGGTGCACAGATTATCAGCTACCGGACTAGCCCAGACGGCAAGTGGGCTGTGCTCGTTGGCATAGCACCTGGCGCCCCCGAGAGGTAGGCGCGGAGGACTCGGCGCCTACGTGAACACGACAGGAGTGGAGGCTGTTTGTTGTATGAAAGCTTGACTTGCATCCTGTGTGGCAATGAAGCCCCTTGTGTGACCATTGACCCTGAACCATCTGTGGCATCATCTACAGGCCGCAGCTGGCGAAGGGGCTGATGCAGCTGTACTCCTTCGAGCAGGCAAAAAGCCAGCCGCTGGAGGCACACGCAGCTGCCTTTGCGAACGTCAAGGTATGGGATATGTAGTCAGGGCGGGTTCCAGATGGTTTACATGGCAAGGAGGCATCATGGGATCTCAGCCCTCACCATTTCTGACGCCGGCCCCCCTATATGGCACTGCCATGCGCAGTTTACCGGGCGCGATGCACCCAGCCTGGTCATTTCGTTTGCACAGAAAACGCTGAAGGACGGGCAGATCCTGTCTAAGCTACACGTGATTGAGCTGGGGGGAGGTGCGGGTAAGTGGCGACATCGTCTCATTGGTCTATGGGATATTAGCGTAGCAGCTCAGATGTGGTGGGGCCACGACGTGCTGTCTGATGAATAAGTGAACCTCCCGTGGGATTGGCATGGGTAAAGCTCTTTGAAATGGAAATGCACTGACCATACAGACGGGTGCATTTACCATGCGAGCTCAGTTCGGTGGACCAGGCGCATTTAGCTTTAAAGCATCGTCTCATTTAAACGGATGGTGACACTTGCTTGGGCATGGTGACGTCCAGTGAGTTGGGTGATACTTTTTACCAAATAGAAAGCTAATGGATGGATTGCAATGCAGCCGGGGGCCCCATCAAGCGCAGCGCGGAGCTATTCTTCCCCGCAGATTTTGCAGATGACTTCCCTGTGTCGCTTCAGGTACGCCATCCTTTCGGGCTTGAAAGGGTTTTGGTGAGGAACAACAAAAGTGAAATTTGACGTGTCCTAGTGCAGTGTAGTGTTCGACCATCATCAATTGACAATATTGCCTCGTGCTGTCCGAGCCATGGTACGGGGTTTGCCCTGATACCCCTTAGGGCCTCAATGGCCAAATACAGTGCTTGGGTTATGCGGTCAGCCCGGTAATCTGTTAAAATCCACTGTAATATCATTAAATCATCATCAATGTATTAGGCGCATGCTGCGTGTGATGAGAATGCACGTTACTTTGCCGAGCATGTACGGTGTACACTGAGGTCAGAAACTGTCAAGCGTGCAGAGCCAATAGCCAACTCGTGCATGATTATATCATGACGTTTGGCCTATGACATAATTTCAGACCGGCTTGTGGCAAAAATGATGCGCAGATCGGCGAGAAGTACGGTTTGGTCTATGTGGTCTCAAAGCTCGGCTTTGTGTTTGTGTACGATCTGGAGTCGGCGACAGCTGTGTACCGGAATCGTATCAGCACAGATCCCGTCTTCTTGGCTTGCACAAGCGACGTGACGGGTGGTATCTTCTGCGTCAACAGGTACACGGGAGAAATATTGCCTCGGGGTCCTAGTGTGGCATGGGGCCCAGCCGCCGCGTCTGCAGCAGGAATCAACAAGTAACTCCCGCCCTTGCTCATACACATCGTGCTGTCCCATGGGCCGCTCAACATGTGTGGCAACATTTTTGTCAGCCAATTGCAATCTGCCGTGGCCATTACTTGCATTAGAACGAGCCGTGGGCGGTTGGATTTCTATAGCGCAGAGCCCAAAGTTGCAGCTGTCAAAGGTGGTCTTTTAAGACACGTTATCGCGGCTAGTTAGCCCCGACGGCACCTTCGGATTTAGGTTATCACCCGTTTTTTTGTATCTGAAAAACTTGCAGGCGCGGCCAGGTCCTGCTGGTGACGGTTAACGAGGGCGCTATGGTGCCGTTCGTTAGCCAGCAGCTGAACAATCTGGACCTGGCCATGGCCATGGCAAAGCGCGGAAACTTGCCTGGGGCGGAGGCACTGGTGGGCCAGCAGTTTGAGCGGTACTTCGCTGCAGGGCAATACAAGGAAGCAGCAGAGTGTGCTGCGGAATCGCCCCAGGTGTGTGCATACGTGGAATCAGTATTTGCAAATGGTTGAGGCAGGATAGGGGTGAATACACGAAGTCGAAGGCGGTTATGAAGGCAAGGAACGTGTGTAGCAAACAAGGGGTTGTGTTGAAAGTGTTGATTTTCCCCGCTGACGCTGTAGGCGTAGAGTTCTTCTATCCATGGGCAGTGAGAACGCTGAACTGGCTGGCTTGGACGTTCGGCACCTGGCAGGGCACATCTGGCACCTCCAGTGATTGAATAGTTGTCGTGATATGCCCTCTTCCTTGGACCGTGGCTTCCAATACGCCTGGGCCTACCATTTTACCGGTCTACTCGGAAGGATGGTCAAGGTTTCAAGGCGTGCATTGCTGTTGGGGCCATATCCGAAGCCCAACCTCGGTCCAACCAATAAACGAAGGGTATACTTGCGTGCCGTGCAGGGCCAGCTCCGCACTAAGGAGGTGATGGACCGCCTGAAGTCTGCTGTGCCACCTCCAGGCCAAAAGCCCCCCATCCTGGTGTATCTAGGCGTGCTGCTGCAGCGTGGCAGGCTAAACGGACCGGAGAGCGGCGAGCTAGCGAGGTGGGATTAGGGGCTGCAGTCTTTTTCTGGGGCACCGTATGATTTTTCAGGAGAAAACAATTTAAGGGATGCTAGCTTTTGTGGCTCAACTCCCTGTAGAAGTGTGTGTACGCAATTGAGGGGATTCCTTGACACGAGATGTTCTGCCTGCCTGTTTTGCCTACCTGTGACGTTTAGGCTTGTGCTCAGTCAGAACAAGAAGGAACTGCTGGTCAACTGGTGGGGCGAGGGCAAGCTCGAGGTGAGGGGCTGTACATTCAAGGCTAGGGCCGCGCTTCCGAAGGGTTGGGGTTGCGACAAGCCTGGCACAGGGCTGCCGAAGTTCTTGTCCTAAGTGATGTTTTCGTCTGTTCGATTACGAGCGCTTTAGCGAACCTGCACGCCCATGAGCCGCTGTACGCAGACCTGAGACACGGCCGGAGTGGCGTAAGAACCGTTTGCCGCAACATAGGTGTGTCCAGCTGCAAACCGACATTGACGTAAGGGATGTTCCCACAGGCATGCGAGGAGTTGGGCGACGCTATCAGCGCAGCCGGCGATAAGGACTTCGCGCTGAAGGTTTACCAGCAGTGCGGCGCTGGACAGAAGGTACGCGGATATCGGGAGCACAGGGCTCCTTTTTATTAAGCGCAGGGCATGAGTGCCGGCTCTGCTCGGATAACTGTTGACTAGTTACTCCTATTCACAAAGTTATGGGGGACACCACTGGCCTACCTGAATTGTCGCGCCGGCTCCTTAAGGCTGGGCCTTCGTTTTTTTAATATTGTTGGTGTCGGGTTTTTCGAAATAATGTTGGCGGGATTTACCATTAAAGGCGGCCGTGCTCACAGCCGCACGCAAGCACCCTGCATTTCGCAGCTGGCACGGATCCCCGCAAGCTCGCCATGTGCTGCAAGTTGTTGTTCGCTTCCCGGGTGGGGCCGCGCTCTTCAGGTGATCGCGACGCTGGCTGAGAAGGGCGACATCCAGGCCCTGATTGCGTACACAAACGCGACGGGGCAGAAGCTGGACTACATGTTCCTGCTCCAGAGCCTCATGATGAACAACCCGAACGGGGCCGTTGCCCTAGCTAAGATGATCGCAAAGCAGATGCCGCCGCCTGTGGACGTCAACGTTATGGCGGACTTGTTCCTGCAGGTAGGACACAGTAGCTTAGGAAAGACATTGACAAACATGCGCAGTGGAAATGACACAATTTCGGCGAGTCCTCCAATTGGTCCTACAAGAATTAGCGCAGTGGAGAAGAGGGAAAGGGAAAGGGTGACAGCACGCCTGGGATCCGCACGACCATGCAACCCAGGTTACTTTTCTGTGTGGCGCCCTCGGTCCCCTGGGTCAGAAGCACTGCTGCGTTATTCCTGTAAATGGCCGAACTACTTCACCCAAGCGTTTGACTTTTGTTCCAACTCCTTGCGTTCCGGTTTGCAGCGCAACATGGTTCGCGAGGCCACAGCCTTCCTGTTGGAAGCTCTTTCAGGGGACCGCCCGGAGCAGGGCCCTCTGCAGACCAAGCTGCTGGAGGTTAACCTCATCACGAACCCACAGGTGATGCCATCTAGGTTGGGAGAGGGATCCTCAAGTCGTAGTACAATCCCATGCTTACCCTTGTTAACCGTATTTCCAGCAAGGCCGTCTGGTGTTATCAATCTTGATGTTATCGGCAGCAATGCAAACTCATTTTGCTCTTCGATATCTTGCCGTCCCTGTTGCAGGTGGCGGACGCCATTTTGGCAGGCGGGACGCTTAGCCACTACGACCGGCCCCGGATTGCTCAGCTGTGCGAGAAGGCAGGCCTGTACATGCGCGCGCTGCAGCATTATACAGACCTGTCGGATATTAAGCGCTGCATCATCAACACACATGCCATCGATCCACAGGTGAGCCAATGGTGAACATCAGGATTGCCTGGACGGGTAACAAGTTACAACTTACAAGTGCCGCACGAGTGGGGGGTGTCCGTCAAAGCCGTGAGGCCATGGAGAGTTTATTGAGAGTTGATTACACCGTACAACCGACGATGGTTTCGGTCCTGCCAACTAGTCCCCTCCTCATCCAGTCACCCGACATCTGTAGAGACATATCGGCCATCACCACCAACTCAGCATGGGAAACTCAGCCCATTAACCAGACCTCATCTCCACACCTTAATAGTGATTTGTAAACCTAACTCTCCAGATTATAGTCGGGGTCCTGACGCTGCGCCATGTGACCAGCATTTTGACAGTGTTTAGGTTTACGCCATCATCAAGCATGGCTCCATGGTCCGTTTGACCCGTCGCCATTGCATGCTGAGTCTTGCAGTGTGGTCAATTCGATCTGTTTCGGTATTTGCCCTGCTTTCAGGCACTGGTGGAATTCTTTGGTACCTTGAGTAGCGAGTGGGCGCTGGAGTGCCTCAAGGAGCTGTTAGTGAGCAACATGACGCAGAACCTGCAGCTGGTGGTCAACATCGCTAAGGAGTACACAGAGCAGCTCACCCCAAGCAAGATCATCGAGCTGTTTGAGGCGTACAACTCGTACCACGGCCTGTACTTCTATCTGGGGTCACGCATCGCATTTACCGAGGTGAGAATCGGTTAAAGCTACAGGATTGTCTTTTGCTAGCGCTAGCTGTCCTATCGTTGGTTGGTATCGTTAACAGCTTCGTAAACACCCCTTGTTGGACAGGATGGGCTTGGGCCTGTGGGGTGTTATGCACATGTTCTAGGTTTAGGCTGTATGTGGTGAACGAGTTATGGTAGGATGTGTTGCGAGTTTTGCAGTTCATGCCGCTGGCTTACCGTCTGTGCCCACTGAATCCATGGATCCAAATTCAATGGTATGAAATACCGGTCCGTCCATACATATTACAGCATGCGCACCATTATGACTGAGGCGCCACCCCTGGCATTGGCCTAGTACCTCTCGGAAATTTGGGAGGCCAGGCACGTCGCGCTGAGGCGCTTCGCCCTGAAGCGGACGAGGGAGAATGAAGATGACCTCCCGCGTACCCGCATCAATACCAATACAACGTCCATGGGCCCCCCGGCTTTTACGGACACACCCGCACTTGTGTGCGGAACTTGTAACTTGTAACTATTACTTGACGGACGGTAGCGATGTCGCTGCGCAACCGATGTAACCGCCCGCTTGCCTGACATTTTTCTGTAATTCCTATCAACATGATGCACGGTCACAATTTTGAGCTCGTTGAGTGTTCGCTATTGTGCACCATCCGTTGGAATGCGCAAAACTGCGTGGCGTCGTGGACGATTCTGGCAAAGGTGTATGTGATTCTTGAGTACGCTCAAAAGCTTTGCTGATGTTTGACCGGGCTACGGTTAGTGAGGCCTTCTTTGTTTACATGTGGCCGCTCCGCTGGCCTGGGAGAAAAGTATTATTCGGCCATGTTGCGTGCTGTCTATCCTTGCGCCTTACCCTATTGGCAGAACTCGGAAGAGCACTTCAAGTACATTGAGGCGGCTGCGCGGACGGGCAATCTGAAGGAGGTGGAGCGGGTAACCCGCGAGTCTTCCTTTTACCCGCCGGATAAGGTTAAGGCTTTCCTCATGGAGGCGAAGCTGCCGGATGCCCGGCCACTCATCAACGTGTGCGACCGTTTCGACCTGGTGGAGGACCTCACGCAGTACCTGTAAGAATGACAAATTATTTCACTGGGATAACGGAGGTTTGCGTGTTAAAGTCAAGCGATGGGATTTGAAGAGGCTTTGGGGATTCGAGCCTGAAGCTTGCTTTCCGTCCCCGAGTCCTAAGCGCCGTGGGATTATGACCTCCCTCCCGTTTGGCAGGTTTGCAAACAACATGCTCCGCTACATTGAGGGCTACGTCCAGAAAGTGAACCCCAGTAAGACGCCGGCTGTGGTGGGCGCGCTGCTAGACTGCGAGGCGCCCGACGAGTTCATCAACAACCTGATTTTGTCAGTGCGCTCGCTGCTGCCTGTGGATGGGCTGGTGGAAGCCGTAGAGCGCCGCAACCGCCTGAAGCTGCTGACACCTTTCTTGGAGCACCTCATTAGCGAGGGGAGCCAGGACCCACACGTGCACAATGCGCTTGGTAAGGCGGTGCACATGTTGTTCCTTTAGCACCTAGCTGTCCCGGCACTCATTGCTGCGCGCGAATGGTCGATGGTTAACCTTGCTGCAGCAGTTTGGCGGCACGTCGTAATATTGAGTTTGGTGTTTTATATATCTTGTTGCTTCTGCATACATTCTGCTGGCATAATGCCGCCCATGACGGATTCATTTGTCCTGTGATTGTGCAGGCAAGATTATCATCGATACGAACAACAACCCGGAGCACTTCCTCACCACCAACCCGTTCTACGACTCGCTGGTGGTGGGCAAGTGAGTCTATTGGCATTTGATATGCGCTCCCTGCTGCAGCAGGGGCCTTTCTTTTGGGAGGGCTACAAAACCCTAAGTCACGTCGCCCTAGTGAGGGAAGCTATCTGTCATGCTGATTACCAGGCGAAGCTTACACACGCTCTGACGCGTAGATTATCAGTAATTAAATATGGCCTAATGCACATATGAACACGGCCTTTTTGTACGGGCTAGACAGGGACATTAATATTCTGACCTCACACCTCGTGTTTCTTCTCGTGCAGGTACGCTGAGAAGCGCGACCCCAACCTTGCAGTTATTGCTTACAAGCGCGGCACCTGCGACGACGCGCTCATCGAGTGCACTTCAAAGAATGCGCTCTTTAAGCCACAGGCCAGGTGAGCACGCGACGCAACTTCACTCAGGCAGGCGCCATTTCCCTGCGTGCAAACGCACTATCAAATCCCCAGGACAGCAATCCCCGTGCCTTTCGCCTCGTGCGATTACTTACTTGCGGCCGCTGGGCGCGTCTAAGCGCTGCCTTGGAAATGTGCAACCTGACCGCGGTACTATTGTAGGTACATCGTGGAGCGGGCGGACCCGGCTTTGTGGGCCAAGGTGCTCGATGAGTCCAACCCGCACCGTGCTTCGCTGGTTGAACAGGTGGTGGGCACCGCTCTTCCAGAGAGCCGAAACCCGGAACAGGTCCGTTTGGGTAGAAGGGTTGGGGAGTCGGTTAGCTTGTGGCATGCAGGTTTCCTGACGTACAGCCGATACTGTATAACAGCGTAGGGATGACCGCATTGCAGTCGCACTTGGAACAGCCTCAGATCAGGCAGCTTTTGGGTGTGCGCAACTGGCGTTGTCTTGTCAGTGACATAGCGTTCAGAACATGTCATTCTGAATAATACGTGGAGCGCCTGGTGTCGAGCATGAATGTGCGACGGAGTGCCCCGTCATGCACGTGGGCTGAACAGTAGAAATGCAGTCAGGTACCCGAGGACGCCAATCTGCTTGAAGGACTACTCTAGTTCGCAGTTCTCCGGCGATGTTACGAGTCAACCTCCTGCCGACGCCGCAGCAGGCTCAGGAGAGCTTGTTTGTATGTGGCTCCAGCAACGCCTAGTGTTGGGTTGTGTAGTTAAAGAGTGTGAATGCGGTTGCCTGTCTGCAGGTCAGCGTCACCGTCAAGGCGTTCATGGCACAAGGCCTCCAGGCGGAGCTCATCGAGCTTCTTGAGAAAATTGTGCTACAGAACAGCGCCTTCTCTAACAATGCAAACCTGCAGAACCTGCTCATCCTCACCGCCATTAAATCCGAGAAGTCGCGTGTCAAGGTAAGCGCGCTTAGCCTGTAGCCACGGTCATATTTTAGCCACGTTGCAGATGAGGCCGGGACGACTAGTTGCCCATCTGTGACCCCTGTTTGGCGTTCATCCTTATGGACTCCTGTGAGATTGGCTTCGGCCGTTGCTTCAGGGCTACATCTACCGCTTGGACAACTTCGATGGCCCCGCCGTGGCGGAGAAAGCCATTGAGCACGGGCTGGCGGAGGAGGCGTTCGAGATTTACAAGAAGTTCAACAAGCGTGTGGAGGCCATCAAGGTGCGTGGCGCTAGCCAGCCAATATTACGGAACGCGTAAAACTGCTGGCTGCATGTCCATGCAGGTTGGCCTGTGCCCGTTTTCCTCGCCTCTGATACACGCATCCATGGCATGCGCCGCATTATCATACTAGCATAATTTAGTGGACCCATTGTAGCCGTCTGTTACGTCCACAGAAGTATGAAGAAGCAGTGAAGACCGTTGCTGTCGTAATTTGGGAAATGATGCATTCGAAAAATTTCTTTTGTTTCCCTTGTCTTGCAGGTCATCATCGATCAAATTAAGGATATTAGCCGCGCATCGGAGTGGGCCGCTAAGTGCGATGAGGCGCCTGTTTGGAGCGAGCTGGCGCATGCGCAGCTGGCGGCGGGTATGGTTTCCGAGGCGATTGCATCGTACCTCAAAGCCAACGACTCCACCAAGTAAGCTTGGGGACACTGGGAACAGGGGCGCTGACTGATGGAGCGTCCCTTGATGCTAACGCCTGGCAGACTGGTGTCCCAGGAAGGGGCTCTGCTCCTGTGCTGTCACAGAGTGCCGAGTCTGAGGCCGTTAACAACCGGAAAAGTATAATGCGTATGGCAGTGGGTCTTGGAGCTTGGCGCTGAAGGTTGCGTGCACTGCCTTCGGGTTGGCTGCAGGTACGTGGCTGTAACCGAGGCCGCCAAGTCGGCCGGCTGCTTTGACGACCTAGTCAAGTACCTGCTCATGGTCCGCAAGAAGGTCAAGGAGGCAAAGGTAGGGCAATACTGGAGGCCCTTCCTGTGTCATCTGTCGCTGCGTATGATTTTCCGGGCAGGAAGTAAAGAGCAGGTTCTTTTGTCTTTCAACGCCCCTTAAGGCAACCATCCAGTTAGGCCACGTCTGATACACGGGCATGTGGCTCTACCTGTTGTGTTCCCACTCAGCTTTTCCAGAGCCTCCGTGTTCGCCTCATTCTCTGATGCTGACAGGTGGACACAGAGCTCGTGTACGCGTACGCTAAGACCAACAACATGGCGGCGCTGGAGGAGTTCATTTCTTCTACACACCAGGCAAACTTGCAGGCTTGCGGTGACCGGTGCTACGACGAAGGCCTTTTCGAGGCGGCGCGTGTGCTGTTTGCCCACCTGCCTAACTACGGCCGTCTGGCTTCCACTCTCGTGCGGCTGCGGCAGTTCCAGCAGGCGGTGGAAGCGGCGCGGAAGGCGAATAGCCCGAAGACCTGGAAGGAGGTGTGTAAGGAGCCATTTGTTGTTAGTGGTAGCCTAGCCAAATGAGCTTGGCTTGGCAAGCTGCTCTGCAGCCGTGTTGGCTTCGGTATGTCAGCGTTGCGGGTGCCTGGCGGCATAAGACTTAGGTATGTATGTTGTTACAGGGTGGTTAACTTCGCCAGCGGCCCCCTTTCCCGGGGCAGTCCCTGCTCTCCCCTGCTAGAGGGGCACCCTAATCCGTCACCCCATTCGACTTCAGAATGTATTCGTTGGGTTCGGCAACTCACCACCAGCATCCAACCAAATCTAGCGGATCAACGGCGCATCAACTTGGTACCTGGTTAGCTCGCAAGTATGGATTGCACCGAAGGTATTCCGCTCTTCCTTCTCGCGTTGCGCAGGTCTGCTACGCTTGCGTGGACGAGAAGGAGTTCCGCTTGGCGCAGCTTTGCGGTCTGGCCATAATTGTCAATGCGGACGAGCTGGACGAGGTACGCTGGCGTGAGCCACGGTTGGCTGGGTACCGAAAGTGTCTTCGTGATGGGTAGCCGTTAGGTCCATCATAACCGCATAGTCATGATGGAGCCGAGGACAGGCCTGCGCAAAGCTGTGGCATAAATAGGCACGAGGCCACACAGAGACATTCCAGCTGCGCTCGGGACCCGCTGCTCATCGGGTCCTTGTGTTGCTGTTGCGGGAAGTAGATACCTGATCGTGACCCCTGCTTTAACAGTAGCGGTCGATTTGCTCCATGATGTTGCATTGTGGGAACAGGTATCCGAGTACTACCAGCGCAAGGGCCACTTCGATGATCTCATCGCCCTCATGGAGAGTGGCATTGGGCTTGAACGTGCACACATGGGCATCTTTACGGAGCTTGGCATTCTGTACGCGCGGTACAGGTAGGTGTCGCAAGAGGGGTCCCTGATAAGGAGGGGAAGAGGTCGAGGAAGGGCTGGATGGAAGTATTCTGGTATTTGGACTCTTCGTTGTACATGGGTGCGACCGCGATGCGCCATGCCAATTAGTTTTCTCGGCAAGTAACCACCCAGTCTGCACGCTCTTTTGTAGGCCTGAGAAGCTGATGGAGCATCTGAAGCTGTTCGGGAACCGGCTCAACATTCCAAGGCTCATCCGTGTCTGCGACGAGCAGCAGCATTGGAAGGAGCTCACGCTACTCTACATTTCATACGATGAATACGACAATGCGGCACTCTGCATGATTAACCACTCGCCAGCGGCTTGGGAGCACGTGCAATTCAAGGATGTCGCGGTCAAGGTGAGTTTGAGACAGTCCGCTGTGTGCCAGTGTTTTGATCTGAAGGATGGCCTGGTCCAAGTAACAGCCCTGCACCAGGGATCTACGGATGACACTTATTCGCAACTGATCAGGTGCCGCCCTGTGTGTATCGTTTAGCTGTTTGCGCACGTGCTCAGGTCGCGCTGTCTCAACAGCTGAAGGATTTGAGGACAAATTCTGGTCTTACAACTTCAACTCGCATGGGGCCCTGTTGCTGCCCCTTCCATTGCCAACAGGTGTCGTCCACGGAAACGCATTATCGTGGTCTGGCGTTTTACCTGGACGAGCACCCCGACCTGCTGTGCGACCTGCTGGGCGTGCTGCAGTCGCGCCTGGACCACGGTCGTGTGGTGGATATGATGCGCCGTGCCAATCAGCTGCCTCTCATCAAAGACTACCTGCTGGGCGTACAGGTGTGCTGCGGTTGGAATCACCGTCAGCATATAGCTTTCAACAAAAGTTGAAAACAATAAAGCCGCTCAGTAGGGAGAAGCCATTGCGCTATTCGAACTGATATGGTTACACTCCTTGTAAAAAGGGAGCCTGCACGGCTTGCTGCTGTCTCCTTACTTCTACTTGATTGCCCTACGCCACTGGCATGGTCAGCGCTAAGCTTCGTCCGTGCCTTTCTGGTGGTTGCTGTGAACAGAAAGCCAACCACGCTGAGGTTAACGAGGCCATCAACGGGCTGCTTATTGAAGAGGAGGACTTCGAGGGGCTCAAGCACTCCATTTCGACGTACGACAACTTCGACCAGGTAAGGTGGAGTTTTTCCAGTGTTTCCATGCACTGCACCGGTCTGGTCTAGTTTCCACTTACAACTTGGTGGAAATGCTCAAGTGCGCTACGTGCCAACTGGATCAAATCTACTAAGCAACACGTAGCGTCGATTGATCGGCCGGATTGCAGATTCGGCATATTGCTATTGGCCATGAATCCCGCATGGTATTGTTCCAGATATGAAACGTGGCCCTACCCTGGCCCCCCCCTGTAAACCCGTCAGTTGGGTCTTGCGACTCGCCTCGAAAAGCACGAGCTCATCGAGTTCAGGCGGTTGGCAGCTATGGTGTACAAGCAAAACGGCAAGTGGCGACGCGCTGTCGAGCTGGCCAAGGCGGATGGTCTTTTCCGGGATGCAATGGAGACCACGGCACAGAGTGGCGAAGGCGAGCTTGCTGACGAGCTGCTTCGGTGAGTTTCCTTACTCCAGCGATATCGGCATACGTACGGGGTTTCTTCTGCATGCGGCTGGCGCGTTCCCCGGGTCCGTATACAACTTTTGAAAGCGTGAATGGAGGTATCATCTGACCGGGTTTCCGTGGTGCGCTTGGCAGATACTTCATTGACAAAGGGGAGAAGGAGTGCTTCGCGGCGTGCCTGTACACGTGCTACGACCTGCTGCGGCCCGATGTCGTGCTGGAGCTATCGTGGATTAATGGACTCACTGACTACTCGATGCCGTACATGATTCAGGTGTGGTAATACTCTGCACCCAGCTCCCGCCTATCATGTGTTGGCTGTGCTCTGCAGCTATCTACTATCTCGCCATCTGCCCCACGCTCTTCGTTAAAGCCCTTCCTCTCTGCGGCGGCTGTTAACAGATGCTCAAGGAGTACGTTGGCAAGGTGGATCTCCTCATGAGCGAGCGCAAAGAGCAGCAGAAAGAAAAGGAGGAGGCGCAGCAGGTAAGGGGGCAGCTAGTATGTGGCCGAGCTGCAGCTGGGTCGTCCAGGTTGCAATCGCTGGATGGAGCTGTAGATGCAATCCAAAATATCTGAAGAGTTGGTATTGAGAGCTCTGTGCGCAAACCCTGTACGTACCCCGAACGTTGTATCCGCAGGCGCAACGCCACCAGGAGGCCCAGCGAAATGCGTATGCAACGCTCATGCCGCTGGCCTTGCCAGCCCCCAACATGGTCGGTCCGGGCGGGCCAGGCGGGGGCTACGGCGATCCTCACGGCGCGGCAGCGGGACCCACCGGGGGCTTCGGTGCACCGCATGCGCCGTTTGGGACGCCCCCGCATATGGGAGGTGGTTTTGGGGGCCCTGCATACGGGCAATACTAAGTAGTGCGCGCCAGATGTGCCGTATAACTGCAACTGTGTGTGTATGTCGCTATGTTTTTGACTGACAAGTATGCATCGTGGAGGGGCACTTTGATTCGACGGGGCTTGCTTGAAGTTTTGCACATTCACATTGATACATCCCTTTCCGGGCGCGTGTGAGAGAAACTCGTGTATAGAGCTGCTTGAACCTTTTCGCGTATTGTTCAGCACGGCTGTGTAGCTCCACCGGCGCCGTTGTAAAGAAAGATGCATTTTGGTATGCTCTAGGGATGTTTGGGGGGTGAGGTGCAGTTGTGTGGACGAGCCTTGATATGCTGTATGAAGCAAATTGCTTCATTTGCACCGAGCCCGGCCGCGTAAAAGCCGGACGTGTAAAAGCAAATTACTTCATTTGCACCGAGCCCGGCCGCGAAAGGAAAGCGGCTCAGTATTGTTCCCGTCTCTTACGGGTTAAAAAGTTGCAATTTCCGCAGGAGTGCGGGGTTGTCCGTCAAAGCCGGGAGGCCATGGACTATATATACTAAAAGTTAATGTATTCTACGTAAACGCAAAACCCAAAAAGTCCAGGTAGCCACAAATTAGTACTGCGCCCGTACACTGGAGTCCCTCATTTCTTCTTGTCCACGTTATACAATCCTCGGACGGATAGAAACGTACACCTTAATCGGCAAGGCCTCTCATGAGACAGCGGATGCGCCGCGGGCAGATAACCTAGGAAAGGTCAAACCGACAACGACAGTAAGTTTTCGATTTAGGTTGGCGACTTGTCCCCGGCGCTTTTCCCTTAATCCACCCAGGTCGTAAGGTACTGGTACATAACGTTTGTAATTCGCAGCCTTTCGGACTTTCTCATACGTGTGCACGATGACGTAATCGGCTACTGACTGTCTGTCTAAACTCTAATTGATTCACGAGCCCCACGCCCGCTAAACCTGCCCTTGGGCCTTCGGCTCGTATGGGTAGTCTTACAGGTATGGGGTCGCGCACCCCCAACCATGTAACACACACACACAAATATTCCAGCCTGAACATGAGCGAGGGCATGTTTGGGTACTAGTTGCACGACAGCTTGGGTAAGCCACATTAATGGAACTCTTCCCCACCACGTCTGTGAAAGGAGTGTCCCTTCATCCGACAGTAGCATAGACAAACATGTGCGTACGGCCGTGCATGAACTTCCGTACTTGCGTACGGATTTTATGTAGACGTTACTCCTCATTGCCCACTTTAGCGCGACTCGCTTTCAATTGGGCTGTCGTTATCTGGGCTGTCTTTAACAGTCGAGGCCCAACAACAACCACGCATGTGCAATCACGTACTGCAACCCTGCTGGCTACATAGCTCATTCATAGTGGCTATCGAGCATCATTGCACGGTGTGGTTTCATAACTTCCGCAATGAAAGCCCTCTTAACAGGGGCCCGTTGTCGAGTTTTCCTTCACCCCTTGGTTTTAAATGCGCTTGGTGAAGTTGAGGCCGCTGCACACTATTCAAAAGCATCCTTAGGCAACACGAGTTCATTTTTTACCACGCAGGGAATTACAAACCATGACGCTGATGCGGAGGTACATAATCCAGACGCGGCAAAGCACGCTACGAACGTACAAGCCGAAAATGAGCTCCCAATGTAACCGCCGTGGAAGCCACGGTACTTGGTAATGTTCGTGCGAAGAGTCATCAACAAAGTGGTGGAAGGAAACGAAAGCGCCGAGCACGTCGTTAGACCGGGCGTGTGGCCAGCACATCCGGCAGCACCCAACTCAGTACCCAACAGCTCCACGCAGCATCAGCTGCATTTTAGTAAATGCGGATCGGCTTGCCCATCGTAGACTTGATGTACAAGCAGCGCACGTTCTGCCAGTTCTTCTTCAGCAGCGAGACCAGGAAGTTCACAGCGTACATGATGTTGGTGCGGATCTCGCCCTCGGTCATGCCCACGTTGGCGACAGCGACACCCATGCACAGCACCTTCTTCAGCTGGAACTTGATGCTGCACTTGGTCTCGTTCACCTGCGGGGGGGGAATGTGCCCTCAATGCCAACTAATACCTCACAGGGAAATTCCAATGCTACCCCATTTTGCCCACGCCAGCATAATCTTTGTGGCAAGCCGCAGTGTCCGAGAGCCATGAAGGGCGCATCGTACAAGGGTGCACATTAGTTAAGACATGTTCCCAATCCCGCACGCATAATGTTCCAACCCTCATACTGCTATCTGCTTCCCATACACAAAAACCCGGCCCAGGAGGATCAGTCCACCGCTGCCGGGGTTCCGGCCCATTATTCGCATGCCCCGGATGGGTCCAACCTAAAACGCCGTCTATCAAGGGTCACCGGGGAGATATGCGGCTTGTAAAGCCCAGATGAAAAAAGTTGATACGCTTTGAAAACCCCTCCAGGATACCCCTCCAGGATACCCCAAACACTTTATGCAGACTCTTCACATTAATCTCATTCATAAACTAGATTACCAGACGCGTCCCACCGTCGAATCCCCTCACCATCTCCTCCAGGTTCTTATTGATAGGAGCCGGGAACTTGCCGGCCTTGTTAAGACCGGGGCCCAGAAGACGCGGAATCATCTTGATGACAGAGTCAGAAGCCAGGAAAGCGTGGTAGCCCTGGGCTGCAAGGCCAAAGTTAACCTTCGTTAAGCCGCCGGCCGACGTTTGCCAAAGTTTTACCGAAAACATCTGCTCAACCTACCCAGCTTCTTCACCAACTTCTTGTTCTTGTTCAGCTTCTTCAGGTCCTCCACACCCTTGGCATCCACACCAATAGCGCCGGCCTGCTCGCAATGCTTCACATCACCGAGCACGCAAACCTTCATGCGCGGGCGAGGCACGAATGGCAGCTTGACAGAGCCGCTGAAACGCTTGTCCTTCTGCGGGTCATAGTTCTTCAGACCGATCTGCAACTCAATCGTCTCCAGGAACTTGCGGGGCTTGGCCTTAGACCCCTCCACCACATCTGCGCATCCATGGTAACATTATGATTACTTTTACTAAAGATACCTAAGGACAATATCCAAGCATCCAACTAAGCGAAACCTACTGGAGACGCTCTCGCGGAGAACGTCGCTCGAAAGCTTGCTCATCGTTACTGCTTCACCACAGCAAAATGTTGGGAAAGAAAGAATGAAGCAAGTCACCCCGCGTTTGACTACGCCGCCAGGCGTACGATTGCGCTGTACGTCAACCTAAGCGCAATACAGCATACCGGTCCTTCCAGCAACAATCCTAACTTATACTGGATTGGCGTTTAGCTTTACAATTTTGCAAGCTGGCGCCTTGTTGTTGTCCCTCGCTGCCAGTATGAGTCCGTTGGTGTTGCGCACGTTTCCAGTCACAAGCAACGTCGGTAGATGCCCGCTATGGGCTTAGTGCTCGCCGGACCGACCATACTCTCTCCCCTTTCCGGTTTAGTATGACACGTTCCTATTACACCTGCCAAATAGCAGGCTTCCCTGCCTAACAGTGTACAGCCGGTTCCCCGGCCGGTTCGGCCTGAATGCTGGGAGTGCTATACCTTAACTGCAATTTCATCACATCGAACTGTGTACGAACTGCATTATGCTTCGGGCCACTTTGGCACATCCGGGCGCGTTGCAGTGGGTTACCTATTTGCGGAGTCAGCGGTAATCAGTACGCTGGCGAAGCTACGGTAAACCTGCCCAGCAGTTGCTCATCCACTGAATTTCAAGGGTTTGCCCTGTCAGCGAATCCTATCCGACCATGGATGGGGGTTCTCCGTTCTCGTTCCGTTTGTAAACAAATAGCGCCAAACAGCATCGCAGCCCGATTAGTACTTGGCCTACAGGACAGGGCGAGGCGGAATCGGGGTTGCCCTGTCTTATCCGGCACCTCGAACGCAACCGTACAGCAAGCCATGGAGGCTATAGGACATAAACTGCATCGGTACTACCTTGGGCTGCTTGGGGCTGTAGGCCAAGTCCTAATCGGGCTGCGATGCAGTTTGGCGCTATTACACTACTGAGAGCAACAATAAGCTTCAATAGTGTAGGCAGAATGCCGGAGCTGTCAGCTGAAGTACCAAAGTCGAAACTTTGCCAAGCCGTACGGCTGCCGTACATAACTTAGCTTAGAGGCTATATTCGCTTCGCTCCTGCCGCATGTAAGCTACGATGCGGACTTGCAGTTTCACCAAGTATTGGGAAATAGGCAATTGGGCCTGTGTGGGCATAGCCAATCCCGACCGTCACAGGTATCACAGAACAACCTCTCAGCGGAAACATCATCTCCTTTGTCCCACGGATCGCATCTTATCTGCCGTACATTCGCCTCAACTTCCAGTGTTCTGGCCGAATGTCAACACCCCCCCTTGGACGGAACATATCCGGATGAATCTAACTCAACGAACTCCCAGTCCTGCCCGGAACTGCGCAAGCTTGCCTTCCGGTAACGGGTTTGTAAAGATATCCATGCTAGTCGTGGGGCAGTACTCGAACTTCACCTGCCCCATTGACACCCGTTCACGCACAAAGTGGTGAATCACATCTATGTGCTTCGCACGCTTCGAAACAATTGGATTTTTAATTAGACTCCCTGATTATCACCGCAGATACGCATCACACCCAAGCTCAGGCAGAAGTTTCCGCAACCACAGCGCTTCACGGGTAGCGAGAGACGCTGCCATATACTCCGCCTCCACAGTCGACGCTGCCACAGTCGGTTGTAAACGGCTCTTCCAGCTGATAGCTCCACCGCCCAAGATGAAAGCGTACCCAGTCGTCGAACGACGGTTATCTCGATCGACCGCCCAGTCCGCGTCGGCGTAACCCTCGATGTTCTTGCTATCTCGGGCAAAACATATTTCAAAAGTCGCGGGCCCTTTCAAATACCGCAGAACATCCTTGGCAGCCTCCCAGCGAGCCTTTATCGGCTCGTATAGCGCGCTAGCTTGAACACCGCATGTGCTATATCAGGACAAGTGCTCACTGCCAGGTACATCAAACCTCTCCAACTAACACCCGGTAACACGTCGCATCTAACAACACTATATCACTCTCACTAGCACGGTCCAAGACCAGACTTGGCGCCATAGGAACCGACTTAAGCACGGCATCCGCCATTCCAAACTTGGCCAACAATTCGGCTATGTATCGCTGCTGCGAGATTTTAACCTCGCCCAGGTCCTTATCCCGATTAATCTCCATGCCCAGAAAGAACGATACCTGCCGCAGGTCACGGAGCTCAAACTCAGCCTTCAACGCTTGCTTAGTACGGGTCATTCCCTCCGAGTCGCTGTTGTTGCTCGCGACTAGCCGATCGTCCACGTGAGCGAACAGCCATACCACAAATGACTCTCCTTCCAGCGTAAAGAAGCTGGGAATCCGCGCCATAAACCTCAAAGCCATTAGCCTTTAGCGTTTCCCAGAACCTCTGGTGCCATGCCCTGCCTGACTGGCGTAAACCGTACAATGCCTTTCTCAACAGACACTTCATGCCTGCACCACCCATTTCGGATTCAGGCGGTTGTTCGCAATACATAACCTCCTCCAACGGCCCCTTGAAGAACGCAGTGCGTACGTCTTGGTGGCGCACCTTCAATACTTCAGCCGCAGTCTTGGCGGCAGCGTCACCTGGTTGCTGCCAGGCGCGAATACCTCGTTGAAATCAAATCCTTCCTTCTGCTTGTGTCCCTTGGCTACCAAACGGGCCTTGTACCGTTCCACCTGTCCGTCTACACCCCGCTTCACGTCGTACACCCACTTCACCGGAATCGGTTTCACCCTAGGTGGCGGTACCTTCAGCTCCCACGTATCTAGTGCATGGATCGATCCGATTTCTTCAACCATCGCCTCCTGCCATTTGTCCCATTCCTGGGAAGCCATAGCTTCATCATAGGTGGTCGTAATTTAGACTCCGATACGTCGACAGCTAGGTTCAGTCTTTGGGGTGGGTGGCAGTCACACTGTGGGTACCGGTACTGTGTAGAGGCAGCTGCGCCAGCCATATCCTCCCCCTCAGCTGCCTCGCCGACAGCTTTCGGCTTCCCCTTCGCGGTCCCACCAGCCGCCTTGGGCTTCCCTTTGGTTGCATCACCTGCGCCGCTGACAGCCTTAGGTTCCTCCTCAGTTGCAGTGCTGACTACCATAGGCTCCCCCTCATTCACCTCAGCTGTATCAGCATTCGTCTCGCTCCCATGACTATTTTCGGCGACTCCGGCCTTACATGTACTGGGCTGCTCCCCCTTCCCGGGAGAGGCCCCGACCTTGCGGCTTCTTCCACCCTCATCATCACTGTCGCTTCCGCTGCTGCTGCTCTCTCTATCATCCTCTGGCAGCACGCGAGCACACGTCGACATCTCCTCCAAACTCACGCTCTTGCTCACTACGATACACTTGGACCCATCCAGCAAAATCCGGTATCCTTTGTAGTTCCATTCGTAGCCCACCAACACGCCCTTCTGGCTAGTGGCATCGAGCTTATTGCGGTGCCTTCTCTCGACATGCACCCACGCAGTACACCCAAACATGCGCTAACAGAGACATCTGGCTTCACACGGTGGAACACTTCAAAGGGTGTCATCTGCTTGCCCGACACAGGCGAGCAATTGCGCAGTGCACATGCAGCGGTAATAGCTTCGGCCCATAATTCATGCGGCAATCCTGAGTCTTGAAGCAGCATAACACGGGTTTTTTCCAGGAGTGTGCGGTTCAGCCTCTCAGCACGGCCATTCTGCTTGGGAGTAAACGGCACGGACGTGTCGTGCTGAACCCCCTTACCCCTAAGGTACAGTTCTAGGGCCTTGTTCACATATTCTCCACCGCGGTCTGACTGAACTGCCAGCAACTTCTTGCCCGACTGGGTCTCTAACAGCTGCAATACCTCCTTGGCTGCTTCTGGCACCTCCCCTTCGTTTCTACACCGTGCACCACTGCAAAATTCGAATACTCATCCAGAAACGTGGCGACATACCTTGACCTGCCCATGGACGGCACCGGCACCTCGCCACATCCACGTACACTCGCGGTTTGCTGTGTTTCCGGACAGGGGGAAAGACGCGCGGGTATGCTTTGCCTTCACGCACGGCTCACAGATACCCTTCTCCTGGACCTCAGCCGCACTCACGCCCATACCAGTGACCATCTCCTCAGACACAAGCTTCTCTAAGTTGCTGTATCCTATGTGTCCGAACCGACGGTGCGAAAGCCCCGCAGATTCAGACAGGACCGCCAGGGTTTGTACATGCTCCCCCTGGCTGAGCCATGCCGGTAGTAATGAGTGCCTACCCACACGCACGGGATTTGTTTCCTGTATTCCCACTGCAGGCTACTCAGCCTCGAGGAAAATTCTAGATTGTTGCCTGGCCTTTGGCCCACCAGATGCTTCGGTTGCCTAATCACAGCAACCGGTCCACGAAAATCCACATGGTCCACCCCTCATTCCTAGTTCGCACATTGAAATCAGCTTATGACCGAATCCCAGCGCATGATACACGTTGCTAAGCCAGCAAGTTCGGACGCAGTGCTTAGGCTAGGCGCTCGATCGCTTGCAGCAGCGGCGTGGGGCTCATAACCTTTTGGAAATAGGCAAATGGGACTCTGTGGGTGTAGACAACCTCGACCGTTACAGGTATCACAGAAGCATTTCTTAGCGGAAACATCGCATGTTATCTGCCAGTACATTCGTACCTATTTCCAGTGTACTGGCCGAATGTAAACACCAAGCTTGCAATTGAGTACAAATCTAGGGTGGGGAGCTGGGAGAGCTGGTGCAGGCCTGGGTTTCCAACAGGAGATTGGCCCCTATGCTCCTGCCATCGCCCTCCTAAAGCGACAAGTCAGCCTAAAGTCCTATGCCTTATTTCAAGGCCCCCTACTTGGAAGTACAGTACCGAGTCCAAGCAGCTACGTCCGACAACAGCCACAACCTCGGCCGTCGTACTAGTGTTATGTGCAAGCATTGACTACCTGCATTGAACTTCTTGACAATTGATGGAATCTTTTGTAATACCTCCAGCTTTTCTCAAATTACGGAAAAGGATCCCTGATTGCAAAAATGAGGGCGTCATGGGGCGCCACAGCAGAGTCTACGGTGCTTACTTCACGAACTCGCTCCATGACTAAACTTGTTGGATGCTTTTGGTCGCGACGAACTGCTCCGCGTGTGCTAGCTGCTCAGGTGTGACCATCCACAAGCAATTCTCCCCTGTATCGCTCTTGCGACACTTCGATTCCACAAGCGCGATAAGCATCTATTTGTATGTTATGTCGTCCTAAAACTGTAGGCGAGCAAGCGCAGCCCTGAGGCGCCTTTACCTCAGCTGACTCGGCCGAAGCCAGCAAGCGCTGCACAGCAGGCCCAAGCGCAACCGCCGGCGTCGCCCGCCGTTATCACCGATGCGTACAAACGCGCCTCAGATGCCAAAGCTCGCTGCGAGACAGTCGACGTCAAAGTAGTTAGCCAGAACGAGGGAGGCGTTATCGTGCAATACGGCCCGGTTCGAGGTGAGTGGCCGTAGGACATCCGCCACCTGCTCGCTGACCTCCATGAAAGGTTGCCACAGATCAACGTTTACCAATGGCCTGGAACATCTAAACCCTAACTACTCCACGCCACCTCCTATAATCGCACTAGAACGACTGACGAACTCGCAAATCACCACACATGCGCTCAGGGTTCATACCATACAACCAAATGGACCCTGCTCGACTCCGTGCCTGCGCCAACGGCGACCTGAGCACCCTCACTGGCCAGCAGCTCAAGGCACGGGTTGTCACGGTGAGCAGCAGCTTGCAACCTCAAACCCGGGTCAGAGGCCCTCGGTTAGTGGTGCCCCTAAAATCCGGCAGGTCCGTGCCTCGCCCCTGGGTCCTGGCTTGTTTACCCATCCCCCTCCTTAACCGCACACCTGTCGTCTCGTTGTCTGTTCCCCACGAAAGCATTCACCCTGCCGGGTTAAGCACCGGCCGGCGTTGCCATTTAATCTCGCAGGATATCACCATCTAAACCTGCCCCGGCCCAGTCCTCTCCTGGACCTCCATCCACGAACTGCGTCGCCTCCGTGCCGCCTGCTCTTCTCCCAAATACACCCACTGCCCGTATCGGATCCCACGCTCCTTTACCCTCACCACGCTTCCCATGTACACACATACATACGCACATACACCGGCGTGCAGGCGGATGCGTCCCGGAAGGAGCTCGTGCTGAGTGAGCGTCAGGTGGCGGCTGCGGAGGCCCTTCGCCGCATTGAGCCGGGGGCGGTGTTGACGTGCGTGGTCACGGCGGTTGAGGACTACGGGGCCTTTGTGCAGGTGGGCCGTGTCACGGGGTTTTGGGGGGGGCCGCATGTGTCCACCGGGAGTTCGGAAGGGAGCGGGTGCTGGTGCGGGGTATGGAGCCGGAAGTTAAGAGATGCAAGAACAATATCCCAATGGAGATGCTGATGCCGAACGAGCGACGTGCGGAACAAAGAGGATATCGGTAGAGGATGGGATGGGACGAAGGTAAGACACACGGGGGCGGCCCGCAGGCAAAGAAAGCTGGCGTACCTGTCCAATCCGCTTCTGTTTCCTGAGCCCAACAACACGATCTTTTATGCCGCACCCGCCTTGGCTCTTGCTATTGGGCTTGATGCAGGTGAAGGGCATGCCCGAGGTGGTTGGTCTGGTGCACAAGAGCGAGGTGTCCTGGGACCGCATCATGACGGTGGACCAAGTGGTGTCAATTGGTGGGTGACGCAGCGGAGCGGAAGTGCAGAGTGATAACCATCACTGGTTCGGCTGCAGTGTGCTGCGTTTGGCCTCATCTCCGTCTCATCGGCCGCGGTCTTCGGTTTCTTTTCCAGCGTCGGTCTTCATGTTGGTCTTAACCTCTACCTCCTGGTTCGTCGTCGTCACGCGATTGATTTTCCCTTCCCTGACAACCCGCGGCGCCCCTGCGCCCGCTCATCTTTTTAGTCGGCGGTTTCTTTGCCTACCCTGCCCACCATCGCGCGCCCTTCCCTCCTTCCCTGGCTTGCTCTGTCCCATCTCAGGCCAGGAGGTGGTCGCCAAGGTGCTCTCCGTGGACGCCAACAATGTGCGTCTGACGCTGTCCATGAAGCAGATGTCCACCGACCCGCTGCGGCTCTCCCTGGACGGTCTGGCCTGGGAGGTGGCCGCTCCCGGGGCCGCCTACGGAGATGTCCGGGTGCAGGGCCTGATTGAGGCGCTGTCAACCTCAGTTGGAGTGGACTCGGTCGCACCCACCCGCGTGGCGCAGGTATGTGGGTGCTTGGGGTGGGATAGGGTGGGTTTTACGCCTCGCCGCTCGGTGGCCTCCCACCGCTTTTTCTCTCATGCCCTGTTCGAAAGCATTAATGTCCTGGTCTTGGACCGGTGGTTTCCTTTCCCGGGTCGGCTGCCCTCCGCCTCCCGTACAGGACCCCCACCATGTCGCGCAGGAACTGGAGGTGTACCTGGTTCGCTCGGATCGCGAGGCGGATGGCCAGTACACGGCCGTGGCCCGTATGGGTGTTTCCGCAACGGAGCTGGAGCTGCGGGCCGCGGAGCTGAGTCGAGAGCAGGTCAAGCAGCTGCTGCAGCGGGTGGCATCCAGGATTGCTGCGCAGTGAGGGAGGATGGGTCTCCTAGGCTCCTAAGCTAGGAAGGGCCAGGTCGGGCCGGCCGGGTCGGGTCGGGCAGCAACATGGAAATTTTGGCGAGTAGAAGTGAGATGCGAGGCGAGCGACCGGATATGCCTGATGACACGGCATGTGTGTATGTGTGTGCGTTTGCGAGAGAGGAAGTGGCTTGCGAGAGAGTCGTGTGTTTGCGCGGAGCAGTGATGGAGGCCGGGGAGCGGATGAGAAAGAAAGCTGCGAAGATATGTTGGGGGAGTGAGGCGAGGTGGATGAAATGGATGGCAAGCGCGTGTGCAGGTGTGCGCGGCAGGACGGGAGTGGGCACTGCGGAGGGGGATGGTTTGAGGCTCTCGAATGGTAAAAGGTGACGCCTTGAAGGCCACCGGCGACGGCTGTGGTTCGGGTGACGCTTACCTGATGATTGCGTCTTTGCCAGCATGAGGGGGAAAAAGGGTAAGACGAACCACTGGTGAACGAAGCAGATACCTGAGATAGACGGATAGTCTAGGAGGGGAGGGGGCTGTGGCTGATGAGCAAATGTGGCTAGCGGCACGCTGGCACGACGTGGGAACAGTGCTATGGGATTTGTGTTCGGAAGCAAGGCTGGCCCTGAAGTGCAAGGGCCTGAGAACTTGGAACCTGCGCGGCGATCAGACGGGATAGATGCGCTCCTCTTTCTTGGCAAAGACTGACATATGGTTACGAATGCAGGAGAAAGGGATGCAGCCTTTGCATTAGAGCATCCGCAAAATCTTCGCATTAATGTTAACATGGCCGTGCTACTGCTGCAGTGTTTTGCCACTCCGCTGTGTTAGCAGATACCGCTGACGTGCACTGACCTAGGACTCCATTCCCCCTCGGAAGGGCTGAGCCCCGTCAGCTGTAAACCCCGATCCGTTTCATTTTTGCCAGCTGCTGTAATTGGATACAGTTGCTTCATGTGTGTGTTGTCCTCATGGGAAGTACGACTTTGGTACGGCAGGGTCCGATGAACTGCAAAGCGCCACCAACGGCAGATCCATGAAGACGCTCCTGTGTCACAGACACTCCGGTATAATTAATAATACCGTACAAATTCCATATATATTTTTTAAAAGCTTAGTTTACTACTATCCCCATCTCCACACTGTTCGCGTCACTCGTCAGCACTGCAACACCTGCGATCCCCGGGTGTCAATTGCATCCACAGCCATGCCATGATTGTCATAAATCACTCGTCAGCTCTCTCTCAACAACCGTCTGTAATAATTATGGAAAACGGAAAGGCTGCCATACGCGCGAAGATCACAAAGCCAGCGAAATGAACACACCGTCCTGAACACTCCCTCCTGCATGCACATCGGAATCAAACACCACTGCACTGATGTCGCTCGCGTTCCACTTCCTCTCGGTAAAGTGCTTTTGATCGACTGGTCAAAACTCGCTTCCGGCTTTGGCTTTGATTGCCGACGTGAACATCATGGCCATCCCGATGCCGGTCTTCATGGTGGGTATTACGACGCTGTACGGACACTGCAGACAACGTACAACGGTTAAGGAGGGCGCACATGGAGAAAAGGGGTCAAGAGTCGCGGACCAAAACTGCAAGTGGCCAACCGCGAGAGGCTAGGGAAGGTGTGTGTATGTGTATGTATGTAACGGAGGGCTTCAATGGGGAACCCGTACAGAGAAGGGGGGGAATTATGCTGCTTGGGACAGACAAAGTTTTTGTGTTTTGAATGTTACGAAATTAACTGTTAAAGTGGAGAGTTAAATGGGGCAGGCACAATGGAGATAGCGCCACTGTGGTGGATTTGAAGGAAAACAATTCCGCACACACACAACCCTCGAGGCAGCCGCAGCAGCAAATAGCAGCGACATCCAAAAGATCACTTTCCATCACTTTCCATCCCTTTGTACTGGGCCCTGTTTCCCTCGCGTCACCCTCCTTACGCCTTTTTGCGTACGGGCCTTAAGCAACACACGCACACATACATACATACATACATAGGCAGGCGGCTGGCAGAAGTTAAGGCCTGACTTCTGCTCCCAGTCGATCCAGTCGACCCGGGTTCAAATCCGCCTGCCAGCTCCTCGGGTATTTGAGGAGTGATGAAATGGGAGGTGGCCCCCCATCATATGGACGGTGTAGGACGTGATAATATCAACTTGCGAGCTGACCAGGAACTAAGTTGATGCGCCGTTGATCCGCTAGATTTGGTTGGATGCTGGTGGTGAGTTGCCGAACCCAACGAATACATTCTGAAGTCGGATGGGGTGACGGATTAGGGTGCCCCTCTAGCAGGGGAGAGCAGGGACTGCCCCGGGAAAGGGGGCCGCTGGCGAAGTTAACCACCCTGTAATAACATACATACATACATACATACATACATACATACATACATACATACATACATACATACATACATACATACATACACATACATACACGCGCGCACGCAAAAGCGGGACCATAACTGGCATTGAAAGGAAGCGACACACGCTACTCACGACACCCCACTAACGACGGCGCAATCCCCGACACGTAGTCATGCGCTTGCCTTATTCGGAGCGAAGCCTGCATCATCACCGGGGTTGTTGGTCCAGAAGGTCGACGAGCCATGACGACCCGCATAGCCGTGTCACATAGAGGTGTCGCGGGGCGGCCGTAGGCATGAGGACAAGGAGGGCAAGGGGTGGAGGGAGCACGGGTGGGGTATTGCTGGGCCGAGTCGCACAGAGCAGTGCCCACTGCAGGTATATGGTGATCAGACGCAGCTCATCCGCCCTCGCCATTCTGATTGAAGTCTTGCCACTCAGGCCCCGTGCACACTAGGACGGGGAGGCAAACAACCCAATGCTATGCGAGGTGTCCGGGGGCCCGTAGGCGGGGTTGCCTTAGGCAAGCCAGGATGAAACCTGCTAGGCAATGAACGCTGCTCCTGCGTGCCAGCTCGGTGCGTTTCAGTGGTACGGACATACTATACTATAAAACATAATAGCATAATTGCATAGTATAGTAACATAATAACATGATAATAATAACATGTGTGTGTTTTACACCTTCCGGAGTTGCGTTACTCTCCAAAGGTGTAACAGGCCCAAGTATACCTGGAGCGCGGTGGGGCAACGAAGGCCAGTGGGAGACTGTCCGAGATAGATAAGACTTCACTAATATGTGACATGTGACTGCCTGCTGCCCCGGGGGCACCAGCTGTGGTCGAAGTGGATCAGTGGTCGACCCTCCACCTTGCGTTGTTTTCTGCTGCTGGGTTAGCGCCCCCTGCTTGCCGCCTCCGCTGCCATCGGGCCCACCTCCGGAGCTGCCCCTGTCGCCAGCTGCTGGCCCCGTCCCGCAAGCAGCCATAGTCTGAACCGGCACGCATCCCTTCCTCCCCTTCTGCCTCCCTCCCTACCTCAGATAGGATCTCTATTTCCGCACGTACTTCCCTCCCCACCCGCCAATGCCCGTTCACGCCGCAGGGTGGCGTGCTTCCCGGCATCCAGGGCGTCGTATGCCTTATAATGATCCAGCGCTTTGACTGAAAAAAACCCTCGCCCTCCAGCAGCGGCCCAACGCCTTTCCCACGCGTCTCCGGACCGGGCTGGGCCGAGCAGGACGAGCCTGTGTGCGGTTGCTGTTGCGGGTGCGGGTGCGGGTGCCAGAACACTAAGGAACCTCCCGCGCCCAGCAGGCAGGCCACACATGACTGGCCGCGCTGTCGCCTTCCCAGACTTACCCTCGTGGTCCTTATCCACGTGCCTGTCAAGGCACTTGAGGAAAGACATGTGGCACCTTGCGGAAAGGACGCTGGTAGGGATGAAGTAGGGATGAAGTAGGGCGAAAGGGGAGGGGCCGGATGTGGGTCAGGACGAGCGCGCGAGCGTGTTTACACGGACCCGTTTAATCGATATCGGGAGGTTGAGGACAGAACGCAGCACAATCTAAGGCACACGTTTCCTATGTCTGCGGGATGGAGGTGCCAACCAAGGACCATGTTTGGCCGGGACGGTGCGCGTGCGGACTTGACGGTTCAGTGTACATGGACGCCCTGACGGGACGGCCCGACGTTAGTTGGCACGTTTATCATAGCAGTGGCAACTCATTCAGGGCTCCGGGAATGTGCGTACCTGTGCTTCTCGACACAAGCGTCGTGCTTCTGGCAGCAATAGTCAACCGGATCACAGGGTTTTACACCTGGGCAGCCGCCGTGCCCAACTCCACAAAAGCGCCCGTACCGAATACCCATGTTGTCTGCGCACGTTTGACAAAGTGGGTATAGCATGTCAACCCAAGTCCTCAACCGTCCCCGTTGGCGGACTCACTGCAATTAATGGTATGACAGCTCTTTGCACATGGCGTTTCTTCTTTCCCTGGCGCGTCAGTGGCCCCCGTCATCGTACAGAAAGCTAGCAGTATCGACGTCCACAAGAAGGGCCTAACCATGTTTCCGGAAGTTAAGGCGGGTCCAAACTTAAGGCCCTTATGAAGAGGATAATGCTATCGAGCGCAAAGAGAAACTATTGTCGCATTCAGGTGGTACGTGAAACGGAAACGCCTAGCAAGGATGCTACCTGCGCGAAGAATGCCAGCCCGGAAGTGCTTGTATTTAATATTATATACAACAGCTGTTATTTTTGTAACTGTGTGCTTGTCTCCGGAGGCCCTTCTTGGGCTGAAGCGGCGGGCGGTCTACACGGTCATGACAGTGGATGCTCGATAAATGGCTTTCATATAGGATAGATACCTATGCCGAATGTTTCTCAAGTATGATGCCACTAAGCTTGTGCAGCTTTCCCGTCGAATGTCCCATTTTTAAAAACTGGGGAACAGCTTTCGTTTCCGTGAATCATAATAAAAGATAAGCGGGCAGCTAGCTTCCTAAAAATGCCCCCAAACGTATTGCCCCTAAAGACGTTAAGGGAAGCCGCGGAGGGGCAGCTTTATGCCCCTACGTCGGTATGCGCATGGGTGACCTGGTTCTCCGTTCCCAGGAATTCCAGAGGCTCAGGTGGGCAAACTTGCAGCCATCCAATTACCCTAACAAGGCAAGCTGCACCTTTGCGGAAGCCACCGCCCACGTGCCCCGCGGTACGCATGCCCATGGCCATGGCTTTGCAGACCTATACGTCTTGCTCCACCTGAGCGACATCACTTTGTCAGGAGAGGGCATGGAAGTGTTACGAAACTCCTCGACAGAAAGGGTGATGCCAGATGAGCCGCCGTACGTCACGTGCACCATCTTCGGTCCTCTACACTTGCTGCCGCAGTTCCCAGCCCAGGATGAGCCCAGAATCATCTACCTACACCGAACGAAAGTACGTTGCAAGCCCCCCTGTGAAGCCCACTCAGGACGCAGCATCGCAGGCCATGGCTAACAATAAATAGGCGTCAGATGGCATGGACCGATGCCTCCTTTACCTGCCCCTTGCACCCCGCCATCAACGGGTTTCTTGCCCCTGCCCAGATTCCGTGTCCCTTCCCGTGGAACCCCCCTCCCTGTCCTTCGTGCGCGTTATGACGCACCCTTATGGGCCTATCCCTGATCCCCAAGATGGTGATGTACAACGGGGAGCGGCAGCTGAGGGTCAAACTGGAGGAGAAAGGCGGCCCCAGCGGCGACACATATTCCATCTACGCTGTGGCGGGTGTCGCTCACCCGGAGCGGGACCCGCCGGTGCTCATCGCGACCTCCCACCACGTAACAATGATGCCGCAGCAGGACCCGGTACGGCAACAAACACACGTCAGGGTGTGCGGCAAGAAGGTTTTTTTTCCTGCACGGGGGCCCCAGGACTATGTGTGCTGGGGCCGAGGGCATGGCGCCTGGCTGTGGGGGGAGGGAGGGTATTTCGTGCTGATGGAGATGTTGTGCGCACACGCGCTCTCCTGTAGGTACCTTGCACGGCCGCTTTTGTACCACCTCGCGTACCACCTCGCCAGCCCGGATGAGCGGAATATACACTACGCTGCGGAGTGCAGCGCACAGATGCCGCCGGGGGCACACACCCACACCCACACCCACCCGTTATGTCCTTAACTCTCCCTGCCGTGCCAGCATCCCTCTCCAGTCTGCAGCCTGGAGGCCAGTGGCTCACCCGCATGTGCCCCACCCACGGCCCACTTCCAGCTTCCGTGTCCCACCCCGGTGCCGCCTCCAGGTTGCTCCGCTACGGATCCAAGCCCTCAGGCGGTGGATCCTGGAGACAAGGCGGATGATGCAGCTGCCGGGGCCCCATCAAGCCCCATCAGCTGCGCCCGCAGGCCAGCTGAGGCCGTACCAGCCGCCAGAACAGACCCGGGAAGTCCAGGACCAGGAGGCGGTTCTGAAGACGGTTCAGGAGCTGGCGCCGCCCTTAGCCACGGACCGCGTCACGCCGGTGGTGGGCCCTATGGCGCCAGCCAGTCTCATCTGCAAGGTGCGGTAGGAGAGACTCAAGGCATAGCGCGAAATGTGGCTGGGGCCCGGAGGCGCTTGCGTGAACTGCTGGATTCCGCGTGCCTGCGTTGTCTGCGTTGCAACGTAGACATGCGTTACGTCTGTTACGTCGAGTCTTACTTTCTCGTTGACCGGCTCGTAAGTTTTTCGCGCCATTTCCATTTTATTTGCGCCGCATTTAAAGTGTTCCTTTTGGGGACGCCGCGCGTACGTACACGTACTCCATGGTCCCGCCAGTAGGGAAGCCAGTGCGGCCTCGGTGTCGTCTCCCATGTCGAATTTGAAAATTTGAATCCGCTTGTCCGGCATCCCAATCCTAGTGGACCTGCCACCTTAAAACCCCCCGGTGGCATGGGCAGGTCCTGGCCGTGGACTTCTCGCACTACCCCGACTACTACATCCTTCATGTCTGGGACGGCACTAATGCATTGCCAATGCCACTGAGCTACACATCCACACCTACCACCGCTGGCGGAGGTGACGGAGGCAGACGATACGCCGCTGATGCCGAACGCGCTCCGAAACGCGCGTGCGTCGAGTTGGAAGCGGGCCCACCGGCGGCTGAGCAGCCGCTGCCGCCGCCTTCCTGTTGGCTGCATATGCCTCTATCTTCAATTGCGCAGTTCGCGGGCGAGTCGACGGCAGCAGCGGCAGCGACGGCGGCCGGTGTTGGCCTGAGCA